TGTTAAGTATATGTTAAGTATATGTTAAGTATATGTTAAGTATATGTTAAGTATATGTTAAGTATATGTTAAGTATATGTTAAGTATATGTTAAGTATATGTTAAGTATATGTTAAGTATATGTTAAGTATATGTTAAGTATATGTTAAGTATATGTTAAGTATATATTAAGTATATGTTAGGTATATGTTAGGTATAAGTTAATTATAAGTTATGTAAATGATATGTTAATATCCCGCATCCCGAAGAAAACTGTATTAAGTAATTGTTTTCATACGACGTCGGTTTCTTTTTCTTTTTTAATCTTCGTTACCTACTTAACTGTTCCTTCATATCAGCTGGAAGCGGTTATGGACTAGTAGATAAGACTTGTGAAATATTGATTTTTGTTGAATAATTGCCAGACACTTATTTGGTAATGATGAAATTAACTAACGATTCATCTTATATACGGCATGAGCATTTAGTAGCGACATATCAAGGAGGTGAAAAAATACCTTTTTATACCACTTAATACTTTTTCGTAAAGATGCAATGGAACTTTGTAACATGTCGGTACGATCTACAGCTCCCATGTTATTATTGTAATCGATTATCACTTTTGGTTTTAACATGTATTCATTTGTGCGATAGTTTTTTTTTCCTGTAGGAGCAATCTCTGACGTATGAAAGGTAGACAACATATGTACCTCACGCTTATCTTGCCACTTAAGTGCTAGTAGATTGGTTGAATTGTAGCTTTCTATTTCACCACGTTTTAATTTGTTTATCAATGCTGGCATGTTTTTTCTATTTTGTTTCACTGTATCACATGCATTTGTCTTTCTTGAATAAAAATTATATGAATTAGGGCTAGTATATCAATTATCAGTATACAGTGTATGCCCAGCATCTAGATATTTTTCCATAAGTGTGACAATAATATTTCCTGAAATACCTACATCTTCTTGTACTTCTTTGATATCCGATCCTGCACCACAATATATGATAAAGTTCAATATGTAACCAGTTTCGCAGTCACAAAGAATAAAAAATTTAACACCAAATCTGTCTTTTACTGGGGATAAACTGTTTAAATGAGAGCCTCCCTTTGAAAAGCATGACTTTCGTCAATGCACAAATTTTCGAATGAATAGAATACAATATTGTATGCCTTTTGTAAATGATTCAGAACCAGTCTTATTTTATATAATTTATCGTCTTTAGTTTTGTCGTCACTGTTGTTATCCACAAAACGTAGATTTTGTAAAATCAATTTATACCGATCCCTACTAAAAACTTGTCCAAACACTGGTGTGGATAATGAATCTGTCGATCAGTAATCTATTAACTTCAGCTTCTTTACTTGTGCTATCAGAAGCGAAATTGCAATAAAACAATACATTTCCTCTTTTGTGACATTGCTCCATTTTTTTTTTTTTTTTGAATGAAAAGACTGTTCGTGTCCATGTTGCATGTGAAATAAATTTGTTTGTTCAGTAATTTTTACCTTTTTACCACAATATCTTCAGAAAAGAAATTTTCGAAACAGTCTAGTATTTTAAAACTATCCACTTTATCTGAGCAACCTGAGTTCAACATATTGAATGGTTGTTTATTTGGAAGTTTATTTGGTACTGAAACTACATCAGTTTTTTTCCAAAGTGCATTAGACTTGTTTTTTTATGGATTTTCCTAAAAATTAAAATATGTCAACTCATTTATGACAACAAAATTTATAAAAAATATTTGTACGCTTTTTTATAAATTTATATTACCTTTTCGACTGACATCTTTAGATCCACAAGCAACAGCTAATTTTTTATTTGGAATATTTGCCTTATCAATCTCATAATCACTCGACTCTTCTTCAAAGAAATCGCTATGAATATTTTGTAAATAGTCACTACCATCTGAGTCACTTTCTGGATCAAAATCATATTTTTCATGCTCATCGTCATCAGATTCTAATAAAAGCCTATCAATTTCTGCTTCAGTCAACTACTCATTTTAGATTAATTTACTTATTTTTCTTTTAGAAAACTTAATAGAAATGTATTCCCTCACACGTTCGCGAAACATTATGTCGGATTCGTGCGCTTCCCGTGTTTAAGTGGTCCTCACAGCCATCGAAAAAATGCGTCTCCTCTATATATAGCGTTCGAGTATTCGCACATTTTTGCGGCTCCCGACGCGAAAGGGCTAAGTATCATACTTCTGTTTTTTTTGTATTATGGTGGAATGGTTAGCAGCTGTGTGTCTTGTCGTGATTGGTTGAGGAAACATGATGTAATGCTATGCCTGATTAACGTAGACAAAGATAGCGTTTGTTTTTGCACATATGTGCTTGCTTTTAACGATTTATTTAACTATGCTCATATTAGCGCGATTAGAATAGAGTTGCGAGTGCAAGAGAGTTACCACTCGTATTTAAGTTACATATTTTAGCCGCTTAAATGCTAATAACTAAGTTTGCTGGTGTGCAGGTTGTTTTTAAACAAGTCACAAAAATTACAAATTATTGATACGGTTTTTTCGGGATGTACGATATGTTAATGATATGTTTAATGATATGTTAATGATATATTAATGATATATATTAATGATATGATATATATTAATGATATATTGATATATTAATGATATGTTATTGAAGTGTTAATGATATGTTAATGATATGATATGTTGATGATATGTTAATGGTATTTTAATGATTTTTAAAAATCTTTTCACTCATTGTCATTGAAACACAAATTACGTCATCACATGACTATAAATCACATTCAAATAATGGCGGTCATCAGGGGCCATGGCCCCCCCTACCAATATATAATCTGTAAAAAATGTAATAGTTTAATCAAATTACGATTTGACCTGGTCAAAATTGCTTCAAAATAAATGCCCTTTATATAAATTATCGTATTTAGTACTACAAGATTAAATGTTTTCTAATGGTACAAGTACAGCAAAAAACATTGACATTTAATCCATTCATTTTCCATTTACTTTATTTTTTATCGATCCACAAAATGTCATCGGTGAGCTGAAAAACGGTCGAAAGTCAAAAAGTCGAAAGTGAAAGAAGATCAAAACCAAAAAAAAGATAGAAATTAGAACAAATAATCGAAATCGCATATGCTCAACGAAATTATAAATGATGGGTGTCCGCGGGTGGACTGAAAAACCGGAAAAACTTTTTTACTTTTGCCTTTTCGAAACAATGTTATCGTGTGGCTTTGCATTGTCAATTAACTTAAACGTTTATATTCATTATTTGGAAAATGATGTTAAAATTTAATAGAAAAAAAAATAGGTGTCTCAAAAAAATAAGTGTCTCAAGATACCATAAAAAATGTTTATGAAGAATTTTTACGCAGAGTTGATTTTCATGTTAAATAATATAAAATGAAACAAAATAGTTATTTTTGTATTAAGTGCGTAAAATGAGTGTTTTTTTAATGGCACATGAGTGTTAATTTCGCTCGAATTTGCTATGAAAACACGAATTTTATACACGAATTACAAACATTTATTGTACAACTGTCAATGTTGAATTTACATCGTCTGAAATATATTAAAAATAAATACTTATTCTAATACATTTTGACGTGGTTTTTTGTCCCGATAAGTTATCGCTTTTAAACGACTGTTGTCTTGAAATGAAATTGTTTCATGATGAATAATCAATTAATAATTGACTCTGTTAAAAATAAATCCTTCAAAAATTATATTTCATGTTTATTTTGTGATTTATTTTGGCAGTGAAAAAAAGTATTTTTTTTGACGGTGAAAAAAAGACTTTTTCACGGTAAAAAAAGTAAACATTTACGCATCATTGTACAAAAACATTCTTTTTATGTATTATTTTATGTTGCAGAATATAAATAAATTATTATTGTCATTATTTGATTATTTCACTAAAGAAAAGAGATATTAATAATTTTGAAACAATCGAATACTTTAATGGAGAATAAATAAAATTTTCTCTAAAAAGCGAAAACAAAAGTTTTTCCTCTTTTTCGGTCCATCCGGAGACATCTTGTATGTTTGAAAGTAATAATGATCGAAATGATATACGATCTAAATGGTATAAAATCGAAAGCATTTTATTACGAAGTTACTAAATTAGTTTTTTTTTATTTTTTCTCATTTTATGTATATTTTTTGTCAATCAACCCGCGGTGGCTCCAGGTGGCACAGGTTGGGTAGATTAGTTACGTTTTTTTTTTTTAATTAGAATACTAGGAAAATATATACTTTCATTAAAATATTTATGGGATTAGAGATAATACTATAAGGTACTTATTTATCATCTCAGTTCATGTCCGCTCCATTTTTGTAGTGTTAAGATTATTATTTTTACGCTGTCAAGTCTGAAAATACATGGCAACAATAGAGAATTTTAGCTAACGTTACCTTAGCGATATACTGTAATTTACCTCTTTGAATGTTGATTAAAAATGTCATAATCTAAGTTTAACGTAACGTTAACGGGGGCCGGAGAGGCTAGCCGCGGGCTTAGTGTGCATACACATACTCGCAACCGTTAAGCAGTGTTCTCTCTGGTCACGTCATGGATAGGTGCCCACTGGGAGGTTCCACCATGGGCCGTGTCACCATGGGACTCATCCGACTATTGGTTAACCATCTACGACGTGGAATGAATGGTGAATGGTGGTACAGTAAGCCGCAGGCTGCAGTGCCGCCAGGCTATAGACGGATTAGGGTGTAGTACGTACATTTGCTAAAATTCTCTAATATCTAGGTTACTTTTCGTTAAAGTAGTGATAAAATGACCAATGAAAGTTCGCAACATGCGCCCAATGATTGTTCTTTTCTTTTGTACTTTTTCATCTTTTTTACGTTCGACTAATTGCATTTTCGATCATTTGAACTTTCGACTAATTGATTTGTTTTGATTTCGATAAATTAAATTTCTGTTCATCTGACACTGCATATCGAACGGTTTGTACAAAAGTTTAAGAACCCGAAATTATATTCAATGTTTTTTAATACCTTAGATACCAAACAAACACAACTATCGCTATGTTTGATCAGATGTTGGCCATTCAACCGAAAGATGTCGGGGGAGGTACAGGAGAATCTAGAGAGTCGGTAGTTCAAAGACAAGCAAAAGAAATGTTGGATAAATCGCCAGATAACTACGATCCGTTTGAAGTCAAAGAAAGGTAAGTTTTAAATATTTATGCGTTAATAAAAGTTCGACAACTGGAGTAAAAAATACATTTAATGGGTGGTACATCTGTTCGAATGTAATTGGAAATAATGGAATATATATGGAAGTGGGCTAGAGTAGATGACCGAACTTGCATATTTTGGAGCCTACTTAGACCGTAGAATGCAAGAGTGCTTGAGCTAAATAAATGGGAAGGAATAGGACAAGCCTGATTTAAAGGGCCTAGTGGTTGGATTCAAGCCTTATTGATGGGGCCTAGTAGCTAGATCCAAGCCTGATTGGGGGATCTGCCGAAACCCCTTAGGGGGAATTGGTGACAAAAAAAATGGAATGTAATTGATGGGAAAATTAGATTTTTAACTGTCTCATGGAAGGTGTAAATACAGGGTGTTATTGAAATACACGTACATATTAAAATGGGGAATAGTATGTAATGACCAAAAACGATTGGCACCAATTTTAACTTCAAATTCTAAAATTTAAATATTGGGGAAGAGTCCCCTTTTCCGACCTACTAGTTTCCATATTTAAAGAAGTAAAATAAATCGAAATTGAACTTACCCATAGAAATTGCACTGTTGCCGTAGCAAAACCAATTAATTCAAAATAAAGTTTATTACAGTAATTGTTCAAAATGCCGTCCATTATTATTTACACACACTTGCAATCGTCTTTCCAAAGAACTTTGAACATTAGAAATTAGTCTTGGATTTTGTCGTAGTTCCTCGGCTACCGCATTAACTTTATTGGTTAATTGTTCAACACTATTAATAGGTTCATTATAAACCAGTTGTTTTATGTGACCCCACAAAAAGAAATCGCATGGATTTAAGTCCGGAGATCTCGGAGGCCACTTAGTAGGTCCATTTCTGCCTATCCACTTTTGAGGAAATCAAATGTTCAAAAACTGCCGTACGTTTAAATCAAAGTGAGGAGGAGCGCCATCTAGTAGGTACCACATCCGTTGCCTTAATTGTAACGGTATCTCTTCTAGGAGTACTGACAAAATATCTTCTAAAAAGTGGAGATATCCTGGCCCATTTAATCTGTTCGGGAGAACATAAGGCCCGATTAAATACTGATCTATTATGTCAGCCCAAACATTTATTGAAAATTTTCTTTGATGCCCAGTTTCCCTAATGGCGTGAGGATTTTCATCACTCCAAATATGCGTATTGTGCATATTGAACACGCCATCACGAGTGAATGAAGCCTCGTCAGTATACAATAATATTTTTAGAAAATCAGGAATATCAACACATTTTTGAATCATCCATTCACAAAACTCCACTCTCTTTTCTTCATCACCTGGATATAAGGCCTGGACTTTTTGGATGTGATAAGGATGTAAACCTTGTTCTTTAAGTGTCCGCCACACAACAAATGAGGACACTCCAATTTCAAGACCTAGTCTTCTACAACTTAATTGAGGCCGGTTTTCAACAGCTTCCAATATTTCTTCTTCGGCCGCCAATGTTCTTTGTGTTCTTGTTCTCCCTCGATCTGCATTGACACTCTCAAATTTTCCATGGTCTCTTAGATGCTGAACAGTTGAAATAAACGTACGACAGTCCGGAATTCTCCGATTTGGAAACCGTTCGCGATACAGGATTTGTGCTTGCCGAGAATTTTCTCCAGCTGCCCCATAAACCAGCACTATATCCGCTAGTTCAATATTCGTAAATAGTGGCATCGTAAAAAAATATTTAAAAGTAATCGTAACAACACTTTTTACCAACTTGGAAATGACGCGCTCGTGTTAGCCAGATTCGTAAATCAACTAAAATTTTAATAATCTATAGTTTCAAAAATGTATAGTTTAAAAACAATCATTTATCAAATATTCTAGTTTTTTGATAACGAGGGTAGTAAAAACCAGTCTTCGGAAATAGAAATTAATTCGAAAATCTTGGCAACATGGTTATTTCTTACAAGACTAGTTTTCTTATCATCTGACAAAAACTTGCATATTAATTACTATTGATGTTTAAAATAGGTAAATAAACCTAATTTATATAGGTCATCCTCAACATATCAGTGAAGTACGTTTGTTTTAGAATTAATTTTCAAAAATTAATAACTCCCTTAATAAGGGGTATTTTTAAAAAATAATATTTTTCTACATTCAGTGGGGATCTGTGCAATACCCAGTTTTAATATGTACGTGTATTTCAATAACACCCTGTATAATCTTAACTTAGTATGTACAGCAGTGCAGTATCGTGTTTAAGTAATTAGCAAAAAAAAAGCAACAGAAAATTGTTTTGCTTTTGTTTTTTGAATTTTTCTTGTATAGAACCTATTTTGGACGGGAAACGCCAGGCATGCTCATCGTTTTTTCCTCAACTGACTAAAATATTTCTAGCTATATATGGCGACTCTTATCAATATTCCTGCAAATGTTTACTAGACGTAATAGTACGTACAAAAACCTATATATTGCACCATTGTATCTCTATTTTCGGAACTTTTCTACTCTCATCGTTTTTCCCGCCAGCTCCTCAATTGGAAATAAACAAAAGTAACTGAATGTAATCGAAAGTAATTAAAAACTATTATCCAATTATCCAAAAAAAAATTATGTTTATTTCTAGGTTGCGTATAATGGGTCAGTTTAATTCTCTAAATATATTCTTGAGACAAGAAATTGACAGAATGGAAAAAGTGATCGAAATAGTTAAGACCACTCTAAGAGATTTGCTTCTAGCCATCGAAGGTACTATCATTATGAGTGAGGTAAGTTTTAAAAAAATACTTGTATTTATATTTTTTTTATTGGCTCGCACAAAAATGGTATTTTTAATGTTCGTGTCGTCCACATAACAAGAGAAACCCGAAGAAAAACGATTACGAAAATCAGATTATATATAAATTAAAAAAAAGTTGTTACAAAAACTAATCCTTGAGGGATACAAGAGAGAACATTTTGCTTGATTTCCAATATATTTTTTATATTGACTGGGAAATTTAGTTTGTCAATAAAATGGTGTTTAATATAGTTCAATAAATTTTCTTGAAATCTCTTGTTTGATAATTACATGATTTTTTTGGTACCTTATTAAGCTCTACTAAAATTAAAATAATTCATATTGTCATGCGATCCATTTTCAAGCAGTTCGGTCATGTTATAATCCCTTAAGTCTCTCTATTCTTATTTGGGCCTATTGCGGGCTCCAATTTTCTCGTTACAAGAATATTTGATATAATAAGTCAACCTGCAAAACAGCCTATTTATACGCTTAAGTAACGTTCTTAAATTAAGAATCAGCACATCCATTTTGTAGACTGATGCATCCACCAGAATCAGGACCTAGGAACTTCGTCAGCATCCCAGTATATTCTAGTCCAGTGGTTCTCAAACTTTTTTAGTGACGGAATCTTTTTGAAAGTCGAAATATTTGACGGAGCCCTAAACATTTCTAAAAAAACAAAACAAAAAACCAAAAAACAAAAAAAACAAAACAAAAAAAAAAAAACAAAAAAAAAAACAAAAAAAGTTCCTCCTATCAAAATCCTCCTTGCTCTAGCCTCGCCAGGTCCCTCCCTTTTCCTTTTTCTTTGCAAAGGCTCCACAAAAAAAATCCTCAAAATCATATCCTTCTTCCTCTTAGTGGCCTCTACCAAAATCATATACTCAAGCCAAGCCAAGTCCCGTTGTAACGATAGTACTGCTTTTTTTTGTTATGACTATTATTTTCTTTCGCGGAGCCCACACAAAAGCTTTGCGGAGCCCCAGGGCTCCGCGGACCACACTTTGAGTAACGCTGTTCTAGTCCGTCTAGCACATAACATTGCCAAGCCTTCCGGCAATGTTGTTTTAAGGGAATACGTAATAACCTTACTATACAACGTAAATATAACGTTCATAAAAGGTTGTTGAGAAAAATCAAAACTTGGCAAAACTTCAATTTGTTACTTACCTATGTAACCTACCTGTTATGTTAACACAGCGAAATAATGTAATTTGCTAACAAATGTATCCATGAGAATTACTATAAACATTACACTCTGAATTCGGAATGTAGCCTTTCATTTATGTTTAGGTATACAATAATAACTTAATAATAAAAAATTATCACCTTTTCTTGTCGTGTTTTGTAATTTAGAAAATTTATAAATTACTAGCTGGCCGATCCCGCTTCGCTGGAATTTCTCAAATCTCAATTATTAAAAGTGAATAATAGTTTTTGTTACTCGTGAGAAATTTTTTCATTTTCATGCGATCCTTGAAAAAAAAATTATTAATTTAATTTTTATTCGTTTTTATTAGTTTTATTAATTTTTAATAAATTTTATTAATTTTTATTATTTTTTATTAATTTTTATTATTTTTATTAATTCTTATTAATTTTATTTATTTTTATTTATTATTTATATTTATTTAATTTTTTTATTTGTTTATTTTTATTTATTTATTTCCCCCCTCCTTAAAATGTGAAAATCCAAAAACCTTTAAATACGTCAATATAACTTTCATGTTCCCACCTTTAAAAAATCGATACTTTCATCCCCTTCCCCCTTCCCGTTTTATCCTGTAAAGGGGGTTAAAAAAATTTTTTGGTATGACCGGAAAGCTTACAAAAAAACTTAATCGACGTGTTTTTTCGTTTTATCCGCATTTTTCAACCTGAAGCTGTATCGAATTTGCGCCAGTTAAAGTCCCCACCCTGTATACCTAGTCATTGTTATAATCGTCCATTATTAGTCACCAATTTGGCTTTAGCGTCATACACTTGCCATCGTAATAAAAATCTACTGAACCTTTGAAGCATACGTTATACGTATAAATAAACTGTATGCATGACTGGGCGATAAAGTGCAGATTATAAATACGTTTAGCGGGCGTAAAGTACTCCTTTATCGCCCACGGACTACTTTTTATCCCGGGAACTACTTTACCGCCCGCCGGGCGGTAATGTTGTATGTATTTCGGGTATAAATAGCATTTGTGGACCTTACGTGTTAACAGCCCACGCCTATCGGCTCGGGCTCTTACTTACACATTGAGGTCAATAAACACCCGTTTTACGCCCTTGATACATAAATAACTATTTTAACTACTTTTGTGCAATCGTTCACCGTTTAAGGTAACGTATTATACTATTTAGCTACTTTTTTACAATCAGTGTTTTAGATTCTACTGAACCTTTGAGATATTTCTTTTATACCCTTTATACCTACTTTTGTTCAATTGTTCAGTGTTTTATAGGTAGCTTATAGTATCGCACATGTGTAATTCTGTTTCTTTGTGATATACCTATCTTTTTAATAACTGTCTCTTTTTTTTGTGATATTGGTACTTGATTTCAAGAACATTTTAATAATAAATTTATATAATTTTATATTTTGTTTTATTTGAAATATCCATGAGATTTTACTATAAAATTTCAGTCTCTCAGTATTACAGCAATATAGTGTGTCCACGAATGGACTTAACTATCTTAAAAATATTTATTTTAAATTAAAAAAATCATTTTTCATAAAATTCCATCGTGAATCGTTAATGTTCTCCGAACTTCACGTTGTAACCTCTATGAAATGTGCTATAGAAATCTTGCAGTTGCATATGCATGGATGATAGGGTTACATTAAAGGTACATTGCATGCGAGCTTTAAAGAGCCCGGAATTGAAGCTTATTAACGTAGATGGGATTTTCATGTACTGGCTGGGAGAGTGATTCATTTCGACTAATAGCATGGCCACGGGCGTATCATAGGGGTTTTGGAGGTTAACTTATTCTATCGAATATTCTCTTAGTAACGGATAAAGTAAAAGTGGAGGCCGTAATAGGCTCAAATAAGAATTTAAGGTCGAAATTGTTACATCTAGTGGTACAAACAGTGAAATCAAAAACAGATTCGTTTCTAAAGAATTCCCTTTTGTGAATTGGAAATTGAATGATAAGTTACTAAGATGACGTCAGACTCGTACACGTCAAAATATTACACCGTTGCCGTATTGTAAATGTGTTAAAGAATTTTAAATAGATACTAATTTTATATTTTATATATATTTTAATCGATTTGTTTAAGTTAAGAAAATAGATCAAAATTATAACCAATAAATATAAAATTAGTACCTATTTAAAAAATTCTTCAACAAATTTACAACACGGCAACGGTGTAATGTTTTGACGTGTACTAGTCTGACGTCATCTTAGTAACTTATTCAATTTCTAAAAGGGAATTCTTTCGAAACGAATCTGTTTTTGATTTTACTGTTTGTACCACTTTCGATCTTAAATTCTTATTTGAACCTATTAAGGCCCAATTCCACCGCTAGTAGTTGAGAAATAAACCAGGTTTAAAATGAAATTTTTACATTAACAATGTCGTTTTAATCTCCTTCTAGTAATTTAAATATCGTTTAATACAACGCAACGGTAGAATCGGCCCTAAGAGTTTGTGAATTTTAATTTATTTCATTGACGTACAGCACTTGATTTTTTTGTAACTTGCTTATAGGCTCTTGAAAATGCTTTGAACATGATATACGATGCCAAAGTGCCACAATTATGGTTACGACCCTCGTGGCTTGCAAACTCTTTGGGATTCTGGTTTACGGAATTAATAGAAAGAGATGCTCAATTTAGGGATTGGTGCTTCAACGGAAGACCGACGTGCTTCTGGTTAGCAGGTTTCTTTAATCCACAAGGTAATTTATTTTCTTTAAATAGTCCTTCAATATCCCTTTATTTATTGATTATACTTAATTTTTTTTTAATTTAAGCGGTAAAAATATATAATAATAATGTTTTACAAATCCATATACTTTTATTAAAATTATATTGTCAGTATATGTAGAAATAGTCCATTAGTACCTAAATGAATTAGCGCTGCTGTCACACACGGAGCGAATAACGGATTGTTTATTCTAGGATTTCTAACAGCAATGAAGCAAGAAGTAGCACGGTCTCATAAAGGCTGGGCCTTAGACAATGTAAAATTACATAATGACGTTACCAAAATGATGAAAGATGAAGCTGTAGATCCACCAGCTGTAAGTAACAAGTAGCCCAGTCTGAACCATATATAGATGTTTGATTAATTTAATATTTTCTATTTGTAATAATTACGAAAAATATATAGTTGAATGAATGTAATAAATTATGTATGTTAATCACTCGTTCAGAAACAAAATATTTTATTTAAAATAAAAATAACGAAAGCGTGCTAATTTTAACGTTAACACAAAGTTGATATCCGATTTGTTTCCAAACAAAACAACGATACCATAGTAACGTGGCTACTGTCATGGCTACCTAAACACAATACAAAACATTAGAATTATTAGTTAATAGAGAGTTATTGCAAGTTCACTTAAGGTCAGTCACTATTAGTGCCGTTCTTATTTTGACATCTGAGCATGCGCGAATCACTTACATTCTAGAACTGACTTTAATAAAGATTGTGCCTGTCCTAAATTGTGGATATTTAAGGACAGCAGTTAGTGGCGACTTTATAGTTTTCGGGTGCGATCGTCAACATTCGTATCAGTTCGAAGGTTTTTAATATTAAATATTTAATATCATCGTCATCTAAATCTTCTAAAATGGTAATTTGTAATGCCTCTTCCATATTATACACTATAATTAACAAAAAAAAAGATGAACCACAATTTTAAATTTTTAAAATGAGGTTAGAAATATGTATAAGGACAATGACTCTAGTGTCAAAATTTCAGGTTTGCAATAAGTCTTATTTTAGCATGGAATTTATTTGCCTCTACGTCCTCACTATTATAGTGGCTGACGTTATAGAAATTTGCAATATCTCTCTATTGCAAGTTCACTTAAGGCCAGTCACTATTAGTGCCGCTCTTATTTTGACATCTAAGCATGCGCAAATCGTATATGTTCTAAAACTGCCTTTATTAAAGATTGTGCCTGTCCTTAATTGTGGATGTTTAAGGGCAGCAGGTAGTGACGACTTTATAGCTTTCGGGTGCGCTCGCCGACATTCGTATCCATTCGAAGTTTTTTAATATTAATATTTAATATCATCTTCGCATCTAAACCATCTAAAATTATCATTTCTAACGCCTCTTGAATATAAGGTCTTTTCCTTTGCATCGAAAGTGTAGCACTGGGCTACACCAATTCTGAAAATATCGTTCCATATATACAATTTGTATGGATGGAACGATATTTTCAGAAGTGACGTAGCTCAGTGCTACACTTTCGATGCAAAGGAAAAAACCTATTATGTACTATTATAGACAACAAAATGGATGAACTGTAATTTAATATTTTTAAAATGAGGTTAGAAATTTGTATAAGGACAATGACTCTAATGTTAAAATTTCAGGTTTGCAATAAGTCTTATTTTAGCTTGGAATTTATTTGCCTCTAAATACGTTATTGTCACTATTAGTGGCTGACGTTATAGAAATTTGCAATATATCTCTATTAACAAATGAAATAGATCTTTTTGGCAACTATGAGAGTCGTCGCTTGTCTTATTTGGAATAAATGAAGTGGGGTGTGGTAGAATACCAATGTGCTTGTTGTGTCAATAGGACTCTAGCGACTCTATGGTCGCAGCCATTTTTATTGTTCATCTTACTCAGGAGTATTTAGAATAACCATTTTCTGTTTCACATTGCTATTGTCTGGTCCACAATGCTAAGTTCGGGTTGTGGACTCCTTTTACTCTTTTCACTCTATATCTTACTTCACATCACTGAATTACAATTATTTAGCATGAACTGGGGGGCTATTTTCAAACTCGAGAGAATTCATTTCTCTCAAGAGAAATGTCATACGTCAACGTAAAACCGTATTTTAGGGCTCTTAGGGCCAGTGTGAACTCTCTCGGTTTATTTAGAGAGAATTAAAATCTTCCTAAGAATTTTAATCCTCGATGCCTTTAAAAACAACATTTCCACATTGACGTATGACATTTCTGATGAGAATCTTGAGAGAAATTAGTGCCCCCATACTTTGAAAATAGCCCCCCAGCAGTGAGTTTTGGAGTGAAAAGGAAAAAAGAAGTCCACCTCCCAAACTCAACGAATTTGGCGAATCAGGATTGTTTGGAGTGAAAGAGAAAATATTATACTTAATTACTTCTGAATGGGCTCTATCAAGCTAGCGGGCACTCTGTGGCGGCACCATACAAGACCTGGTGGGTTTTTTGTAGCTTTTTTGTAGCTTTTTTGTAGCTTTTTTGTTACGCTATTTGCGAATTTGTAGCTTTGCCCAGGTCCGAAAAAACAGCGGATCCGCTAGCTTGAATTTCCATAAATTCCATAGTAGCGGCACAGATTCAGACCCAGCTGGTTTTTCGTAACTTTTTTGTAGCTTTTTTGTAACGCTAGTCTCCCTTTTGTAGCTTGTACTGAACCTGAGAAAAGCGCGGATCCGCTAGCTTAGCGAATATTTTTAGCGGCACCAGCTCGGACCAGGCTCATTTTGTGTAACTTTTTTGTAGCTTTTTTGTTACGCCTGTCTCCATTTCGTTGCGAGGCCTAAACGTGAGTAATAATCGTTTCTCCATGAGCGTGAGAGAAAAGTGCGTTAATTAAAATCAAGTTTCAGCCTCTACAAGTAATATGTGCAACTCGATAGTGTGACTATCTGTTGATAGATGGCACCAGAATTGCATTTCACGAATTATGGCCATCTTCCATCCAATATATTTTTGAGAAATTTAGATATAATCCAAAGAAGTAGAGAGGGTAGAACGATAAGGTACCGTCTGCGCATCCATCACGAGTGTAGAATTTATGCGTGATTCAGCCTTCCACTCTTACACACGTAAATGACAAGGAGAGGTTGCCCTAAAGCACTGTAAACAAATTCCAGGATCGACTTTATTCAGCGCTTAGATAATATAATAGCAGATAGGCCACCACTGCATAAAGTTATATAATATTATGCTGCGTTTGAGAATCCACATCGGACACATCTGTCCCATTACATTTACGTATACTGAACCACGTGATCAAAGATTTTTTACATCTCAGATGCATCCGATGTGGATTCTCAAACGCAGCATTAATGTCGCTATCAAATAATCAGTATCTCTTTCTAATTAATGCTTTCTCACTCGTTTTAGAATTCTCAGCAGTAGCGTACCGTAAAACAATTTCGCTGGGTCATTTTAAATGCGAAAATGTTGACTAAGTAGAATATAAAATAAAATGTTTTAAAAGGTAGGTAGGTGCATTTTTAATGAAGTGAAAACAAGATATGACTTTTTTGTTATGAATATAATATTAATAACAATTACTTTTAACACCACAACACGAACAAATTTAAATTAAACACTGGAATAATTGTCTGAGAAAAGCTTTGTAAAACTGACAAATACAAACAAAGAGATAGAGATATTAACCTATTTCTCTCTAATTAGAATTCTCGACCATATTATCATGGCGACACAAACATTGTTTACTGTCCTCTCTTTACTACTTACTTACTCTGAGATTCAGCGATTATGTTCATGTTCAGCTCTGTTTTTTGTTTGTGTTTTGGCTGTTGTAAGATTTTTTGGCGTCAATTCTTTGTTATCTTGCTTATATTTATTATTTTTTATGCTTATTTATTCAGATTTAGTATTAAATTATACTTGTTAATTATTTTTCGATGCACTATTTTATAATTGTTGCACAAAATGTTGTTAAACCGTCCCTGAACTTTGTTTACAAAATGGGCAAAACGAAATTGTGCATAGTGTCCAGATTTTTTCATTGACAGTTATCATTCTACCCTCTCCACTTCATTGATATAATCTCAAAATCGGACATTTGTTTTTATGTTTTTTAGTGTTGTTTATGTATTTATACTTTTGTTGAATCAAGAATATTCTTACATCTTTTTTGAATAATTTCCTTAACCAATCGTTTTGCAGTATTTATGGACCAGTGTTTAATTCTGTCGGATCACAACTATACAGTGTGTTCCATCTCAGACGAGCCACCCCGTATATTTCTTATCCCATAGTAATTGGAAAAATTTCCCGAAACACGTCGGATGATTTTCTTTGGGGGGACATCTTTTGACGTATATTTGAGGCTTGAACCAGCAACCCCCTATTTTCAAGTAAAAAAAAAACAAAAATATTACTTAATGCTTAATTTGGTAATAAACTCAAAATATTTACTTTTCAAAATAAAGTAGCTATCTAATAATAATGTTTATTTGTCAATTATATATAAACATTTAAATAATATAACTATAGGGACTGCATCATCTCACTGTGTTCTGTATACCTACATCACGAAGATTAAAAACCTTTTTAGAAACATAAAAAAAACCATTCATATATGGATCATTAGATTATATTTAATTCATACAAAAAATATGAAAATACCTACATAAATGTACAAAAGTAGAGAGTATTTGAAAATAAATACATAATAAATAAATAAGCGATGACAAAATAACAAACAAACAAGAGGACTTAGCTGAAAGTTTTAACTAATTACTGTTAAAATAATTTAGCTTTTTAAAGGGAGTTTATATCATGAGATAATTGATTAATTTAAACTCTGCCTTCCTACTTGTTATAACACAAAAATTAATAGAATTCGCAGCTCTTGTATGGTACTGATGTATGTAAGAAATAGGAGTAAGTTGACAATTCAATACATTAATTACTATTTAAAAAATAAAGGTCATCATTGCCTGCACATAGAAACTGTCCCATATTCAACCATTTCAACATAGTCAACATAAGCTGAATGCTATATCTGCTACATCCTAAAATAGCTCTCGTTGCCTTATTCTGAGAAAGCTCTTAAAAGTAGAGTTAGAACATCCTGCGTGTATATTGTATATTATATATTTGGCATAGCTTGTATCCTAAAGATATCACTTGAGCATAGTTTAAACCATAGTGATTTGTAGATACTCAACCAAAAGTTCTTCTTTACTACCATATTTTGATTTTTTTACATTCGATTTCCTTTCCTGAATTTTCACAATTTCTTTGCTTGAACTTCTAGAGGGTATAAATAAAAGTGTCCTTTTTATATAAATTGTTGCAATTTGCCTGCAAGAGTATACTTATTCCTCTGGTAATATCTTTTAGAACTTCTATTTTCTTACATTTCTTTGTTATTACTTTATAGTTTATCATATTTACAGCTGAAAAAATGCAAAATATAGGTAATATTAGATTGTTTAGCCTCAAATATTTTTATTATATTACAAAAATAAAATGGCGAAAAATATCATAATATTAAGGTAAAATCATATGCACAGCTTTAGAAATAATTTAAAACCACTCACCTCCATGGAGGAAGGATAATTACTCACCTCTATTTCAAAATGTACTCGAAATTACAACTTTACTTTAAAGAAGTTTCTTGTATATTATTTAAAATAAATAAACGTTTTTTCTAGTACATTTGTTACCTTCACTTGAAATCTCAAAATATCAAGAGGTAGGATAAATATGTGTTGCCTAATATAGTAGTAAAAGAGTCAAAATGGCCGCGCCCTATGTTGGGCGTGTCAGACCTCTCTAAAAGTATGTGGTTTAGTCAATGAACTGGAGTGGGGTAGAAAGCTAATGTGCATATTGTATCAATTGAACAAGATGCGACTCTATGGGCGCAGCCATTTTTATTTCTCATCTCACTTGGGAGTATTTATAATAACCATTTTCTGTTTCACATTGTTATTGTTCAATCCACAGGCTGGTGGATCAGACAATAACAAAGTGAAATAGAAAATGGTCGTTATAAATACTCCCGAGTGAGATGAAAAATAACCTATCTTCGCCCATAGAGTCGCATCTCAAGCCTATTGTCAAGCATTCTACCCCACTCCAGTTCATTGGGTTTAGTCCAATTAGTGACAGTTTAACACGCTTAAATGTCATTTAAAAGTACCCTAAATAACTCCGCTTTTGTCCCGCTCCTGCCCCTGACTAACCGAACTCGCCTTCTGTGTGTCTGTTTGTTCGTTGGCTTGGTTTTGTATAACAAAAAAAAAGTTCGACACAAACTGATTGGTCTATTCCCGATGACGTATACATTTCAAATTTTAAATTTCAATTGGGCTTAATTTAAAAACTTTTGGCTTTTTTAACGAACTGATTATTTAGAATAACTTGTATAGCGACTAACTATTACAATATAATTTATAAAACAGCATATCTCACATGTGAACATGGCCCATTACTACGGGATACTACTATACGGGGTGGTTCGTCTGAGATGGAACACCATGTATATAGTGAGAATAGGTAATTGCTTGGCAGCTATTACCACCGGTGTGAAGTTAGCAGTAAGTTTTTATATAGCAGTAAAAATAACCGAAAACACCCGATCGGGAAAATAGTGGCGTCCGGCATACAATTATTTTAATAATCTTGTCAATATGTATTTTACATTAATATCGAACAAATAATTAATATACATACCGTTGAATATGTCCGATTTTGAGATTATATTTAAATTTCTCAAAAATATATTGGATGGAAGATGGCCATAATTCGTGAAATGCAATACTGGTGCTATCTATCAACAAATAGTCACACTATCGAGTTGTAGAGGCTGAAACTTGATTTTAATTAATGCACTTTTCTCTCACGCTCATGGAGAAACGATTATTACTCACGTTCAGGCCTCGCAACGAAATGGAGACAGGTGTAACAAAAAAGCTACAAAAAAGTTACAAAAAATGAGCCTGGTCCGAGCTGGTGCCGCTAAAAATATCCGCTAAGCTAGCGGATCCGCGCTTTTCTCAGGTTTAGTACAAGCTACAAAAGGGAGACTAGCGTAACAAAAAAGCTACAAAAAAGTTACGAAAAACCAGCTGGGTCTGAATCTGTGCCGCTACTATGGAATTTATGGAAATTCAAGCTAGCGGATCCGCTGTTTTTTCGGACCTGGGCAAAGCTACAAATTCTCAAATAGCGTAACAAAAAAGCTACAAAAAGGCTACAAAAAACCCACCAGGTCTTGTATGGTGCCGCCACAGAGTGCCCGCTAGCTTGATATAGCTTTCTGAATGAGATTTAAAATAAAATGGCTGCGCCCATAGAGTCGCATTTCAATCCTATTGACAGGCATTCTACCCCACTCCAGTTCATTGTTTGGAATCAATCACATTGTTTGGAATCAATCACATCGTTGATCTTCTATCTTTTTATAGGAAGGAGTTTTCATATATGGACTATTCTTAGATGGTGCTGGATGGGATAGAAGGGGCAGCAAATTGTCCGAATCCATAAACAAAGTTTTATATACACTTATACCTGTTGTCCATGTATATGCCCTGTACAACTATGAAGTCAAAGCGAATAAATTTTATGTGGTAAGATTTTCTATATCCGAAGCTTGAAATTTCTGGTACATTATAAATAATCTATCTTTTAAACGAACAGAAATAATAATGTTACGCAGGTTTTTGGTATCTCAATTTATTTCTACGCAACTTTTACAATAACTATGCAACTGATAACATTAACGTATAACGTCTATCATAAAACTGTTCACTATAACGTCATCAGGATTGCAGTGTTGTTCCTAGGGATTTTTAAATTGTACAACTTTTAATGTCAAAATTGTAAACTTTTACGTTCGATTGTACAACCACTAATTAGTCTACTAGTTCCCGATGCTTAAAATTCTTCTTTTTTTCCAATTTAAAAAATGTTTTCGATGTAAAAAAAAACGGTGTACTGATTGGTCGCGAATGGCACCAAATTCAAACATTATTGTTTTATTAATTTTAATACATACGATTTACGATATACCAGATTTTACATAAATATTTAGCAACTTCAAATTGTACATTTCTACCTTTTTTCAAAAGTGCGTACAACCACAACTGATTGTACAACTTTTTGTACAATTGTACAACCAGGAACAACACTGCAGGATTGTCAGGATCATCGACCTATACAGCTTGCTTTCACCAATGAACTGGAGTGGGGTAAAATGCTTGTCAATAGGCTTGAGATGCGACTCTATGGGCGCAGCCATTTTTATTTCTCATCTCACTTGGGAGTATTTATAACAACCATTTCTTATTTCACTTTGTTATTGTCTGATCCACCAGCTTGTGGATTGAACAATAACAATGTGAAACAGAAAATGGTTATTATAAATAGTCCCGAGTGAGATGAACAATTAAAATGGCTGCACCCATCGAGTCGCACCTTCTTCTAATAGTACAACATGTACATTGGCATTCTACCCCCCTCCAGTTCATTGGTTGGCATCCAGGTGCTATGACCTTCCTCAACCTGTGACTCAGGTCCGGTTTTTCAATCTCCGGCTATTTAGGATAGCTGGCAGCTACGGAGATAGCCGTCAGCCACTGCCTGTCAAAACGTTTATCGACCTCCAGTTATACGATAGCCGTCAGCTATTCTGACTGTAACCGTAACCGACACTTGCAAGTGGTAATTTCGTACAGATAGCCGCCAGCTATTTATTGTACATGCGTAAGACGATGTTTGTTAAATTTAGAGGTTAATATTTTTATTAATTTTATTTCTGAAAAATGTGTTTCTTTGAATATATTTACAGCGACGATGCCAAAAAATAAATTATTTAAATTATTGAATATTAATCAATGGTGACCGTGTAATCCGTGTGTTGTAAGGGAACGGCCCATTTATTTCGATATCGATGAACTGAATTTTATTTTTTTTTGTTTTTTGTGTCATCGGCATCAACTGCTATGGTTATTAGCCTCGTGTTCTGTGTAGACTTTGTAACTGTTTCCCAGCGCCACTTTAGGAACAACACTGTTAATTAGTACCCAAGAGTAAATGGTCGAGTGGGGAATCCTACCATTCACTGTTGGGTACTAATTAACAGTGCTGTTCCTAAAGTGGCGCTGGGAAACAGTAACAAAGCCTACACAGAACACGAGGCTAATAACCATAGCAGTTGATGCCGAATTATTAAATTTTAGATTATTCTGCAACCTTCTCATTTCGTTTCCGTGATATTGCATTTTCCGTTTTTTTTACATTTTGTAAGGACCAAATTTCAATAGTAGGGCTCTATCTGATTCCGCGTAATTAGATATTTTCTCTTTTTTCTAAATCACCAATTGCCCAAAAACAGAAAATAACAAGATCTTAAAGAAAAATGGAAGCAAAATAGAACAATTTTTATGTGAAGGTCGGTGACGATCAACACAAGACACGATATGTAAAACGGAAAATTTAAATTATCCAATAAAAACCATTTAACAAATTAGCAGAAATGCCAACCTGTCTAAGAATAAATAAAAACTATTAGACTACGTAGCTAGCAGTTAAATTCGTGATGAAAAACACTTCCATCCATATTCCATCGGTAACAGGGACTTTGACTGCCAGCTAAATATAGCTGTCGGCTACGTAACAGCCACTTTGACTGGACATTGAAAAACCGACCCTAAACACGCGTATTGCGTGGAACTGGAACAACTTGTTATTAGGCATTGGTATTATTAATATAAATTACTGTGACAGTTCCTGTTGCAGTATAGCAGTCACAGACTAGCCCGCAGTATTATTGGAACAACTTGATATTTATTATTAAATAATGAATATTATGAAATTTGTGACCTGTTATTTTTCTAAAATAAAACAAAAATAAAATAAGATTGTATGGGACATACCTATTGTTCATTCAATATGGTTTTGATTTTAGCAAAAAAACACATTCATAATAATAGATATTTAAATTATGTAATAATAATTAATAACAACTATCAAGTTGTTCCTAGTTCCTAAATTGCTACGGAATACTACGGATTAAAATTTGCATTTTATGCGACGCTACACTACTACTGTGTAAAAAATAACCTCACTGTCGGAAATTATTAACATAAGTGGGTATAGAATTGTTGTCTTCTCGTCCATGAAATACATACATACATACATACATAAAATTTCCTTTTTGTACTTTTCTTTTTCTCCTAATTTTTCCCAGAGTTTTTTTGATAGAACACGATTAGACTGAACAAAGTTTTCTGCTTCAAATTTTTCGTCAGTTCAAATGCAATACGAGGACTGTCTTTTAAGTTTTGCATATAGACCTAGAATAAAACAGCAGATAGGGTTTAAAATTTTTATTGTTTTTCAAAGTATTCTCTACGAAGATTAATGCACTTTTGCATGCACTCGAACCAGCTCTGAAAAGTTATTCCACTCCTGGGGGTCGATTCTCGACTCGTAGGAATATTTCCTATAGGAATTTTTGACATTTTTATATACATCGAAAATTTATGACATTTTCCTACATATAGGAAAGTGTCACAAATTCCTATAGGAAAAGGTTCCTACAAGTCGAGAATAGACCCCCTGGGGTGTCACAGCTCCAATGGCTGTTTTGAATGCCTCAACTGCATCTTCTGAAGCACGTTCAGGAAACACGCTCTGACCAAAAAGAGTGCGAGCAATTTGGTCTTGGTTCGTTCAAGAATAATCGAGCATTCAATTTGGACATTTAGCTACTCTCGTTCAGAAAGTCATATTAGTCTGGAGTGCACTCTTTTTTACCCATTTTAGACTGGGTTCATTTGAGTAAATTTAACAGAACGTAGAGTTCTTTTGCAGAAGTTGTTTCATTATAGGTTTGTTCCAACAGCGCCTTTCTGATGTGTGTCTGACTCGTGCATGGATGCATTCGTAAACTGATCACTACGCATGTCAGTCCGTTTATTCGTCCGTTGTTTAATCAGCGACTTGTCCTTGTTGGAACGCAAAATGCAATGGAATTTGACAAACCAAACATATGTTTGGTCAATTGGTATTTTAAAATTATTTAAAATACAACAACATACATTTATTTAGCTGTCTCGAACGCTTTATGTGAATGTATAATTTTAAAACATTAAGATTGTATATTTTTATTAAAAATAAGTACGCATTTTACAAAAAAAATCCGCACACAAAACCTATTCATTTCAATTAAAAGCAATAGAAACCCAAGCCACTCCAAGCTAACTTAAAATCCCAACAATTACAAAAAAAAATATCACGAAAGAGAAAAGACGTTCAAATGCGCATGTGCTGATAAATTGTACAAGCGATGAAGCTCTGATCGTTTTGACAATCCGCCGACTCATTCATGTACGAATCAGAAAATACGTTGGAACGTTTTACTGACAGTTCATCGGATCATCCGTGACTGTAGGAACGGTCTATTTTCAATGCGCATGCGTCTGACGTCCTTCTGATGATCAGATTCGCTGTTGGAACAAACCTATTATTTTTGTGTGTCATAAAGGTGTTTGTACATGTAATTTTAAAATAAATAATCTAAAATTTCTTGTCTTATTGACTTTATAGATCATTCTTGATTATAAATGGGGCTTTAAATAGATAAATATTGAAATAAAAAGAAAAAAAAACAGTTAAAAAACTATGAGTAAAAAGTAAAACTACAGGAGACACGAGTAACAATGGGAAGGGAGGAACATTGAACATTATAAAATGCATGTAAACAAATTACTGTAAGAAACTTTAATTTTCAAATTCGTTGACGTTTACTTTCATTGCCGTTCAGAAACTTTGGGCCAATTAGAATTACTCTAGAGTAGTCTGGGCATACGATCTAAGAAAATTAGTCTACTTCCGTGTAAAATCATCTGAACGTGCTCCTGGTGACTGGAACCGTTGTCCACGAAGTGCGTTATTGATTTTCGGAAAGGTAAAAAAATCGTTTGGGGTTAGTTTCCCGAAGTTTAGCGATGACTGCTGGCAAACAAATCGCTATATACCAATCGGCAGTAACAGTTCTTTGCTCTTGCAGAGGAATTGTTGCAACATGACCTGCTTTGAAGACAAATGTTGCGACCATCTGTTTAGACACACTTCGAGAACGGATCACTTTTGTCAGTTTGTCTTCACCTTGGAAAACCCAAACAGACGATTGGCGTTTATTTTCAGGTTCATGAGTAAATCCATGATCCATCACCACTTGCGATGCAGTACACGTTTTTAGAGTTTCCAGCGTTGAGGCGCTCCAGAGTTTTTTGACACCAATTTACCGTAGCTTCTTTTTGTTCTTCGGTATCCAACGGGACACTAATTTTTTTACCACCAATTCTTCATGCAAAATCTTTTGGTTTGAGGTCTTTGAAATCCCTAACGATGCTTCAATCTCGGGATATGTCACATGCCGATTTTCCTCGATAAGCCTGCGCACAGCATCAATGGTGACTATCGATTTAGGTGCACCTGTTCTTGGCTCGTCACTAAGATTAACCCGTCCTCGTGTAAATTCTCCATACGAACGAGAAATTGTCGATTAATGTGGTGCATCACTACCGAAAAGAAAGATAATTGTCTTCGAAAGTTGTAAAAAATTATGGCACGAAAATGTTCTCGGTTTAAATCCATTTCTTGAATAACTTGTCAATTTTGAAAATTCGGTGTAACTACAACACTCTATGAATCGGACTGAAACTTGGAAGTGAGGTTAACTAAAGGCGACAGTTTATTTTTATTAGAGCCGTTTGATTCGTAACGCCCTCTAATGCACGGTATGCAAAACTTAAAAGACAGCCCTCGTACTAGGGGGCCTCAGTAAAATTACAACCTCATACGATTTGAACATAGTTCTTACTAAGTTTTCCCCTATGGTTATCTAACATTAATTTGATGACGAGTCAAAATGATAGTAAACGGAAGGTACTGTTTTAACGTTAGTTATTTGCAAAATAAAATGACCAAAGAGGACTGATGTTTAGATCAGAATTCTATTCTTTAAGGTAGATAATAAGATGCGTAACACATCCCGACGAATAGTATATTTTTCTATCTGACGGAGTGCCCCAATAAATAGACACGGTCATTTTTAATATGATTTTTTCGAGATTCGGGGCATTACAATTCATGAATTACAAAATTTAGGGGAGAGAATATTAGCGTTACAGTAAAAACTGAGAAAAAAATATGATATAGCGAGTAATAATCCTGTATTAAGTAATTGATTTTTTTATTGAACAAAATACATTATTTTTCACATAAACATATATATTTCATATATTTTCATAGTTTCTTCCAAATAATTGTTTATCTACCTAATTATTTTTTTTAGTGTCCCGTATATAAAAAATCCAGAAGAACAGGTTTGAATTACATAACGGTATTGTACCTGCAGACAGTGAAACCTCCAGAACATTGGTGTTTACGTGGTGTTGCACTGCTATGCGATGTCCAATAATTTTAGATTTGTATATAGTTTTAACAATATATCTACATAGAATTACAATTGCTTTTTAATTGTTTCCACATACAAACGTTCTACAGATTAATTTAAGCACTTCATACAGTACATCAGTATGTTAACCAACGCATCAACCAAAATGAAAATGAGACGCTTAATTATATTTGAACAATTTGAAAAAGTAAAAAATAACTTGTAAAAATATAGGAAATTTATGCAGGCCAAGAAACAAAATTGTTCTGTATGATTCCCATTGAATTTGGTTTTAATCTTTTTCTCATCTTCAACTTTGGTTTCTTAATTTTTTTTTTTTTTTTTCAGGACCAAAAATCGAAAGAAAATTAACAAATAAATATGTACATTACTGGTTATGTAACTATACAGGGTGTTTCCGAACTTGGCGTCCAAATTTGTAGGGGTGGTAGTTCGCATAATTTGAGACCGATTCGCAATTTCATTTTTCCAAAATATTTAAAATAAAAATAATTAAAAATTAAAAAATTAATTAAAAATTTTAAACAGGTACGGTCCTGCACAGCGATGATCGCCTCGACTCGCACGCGCTACGGTTGTAAATCCCGATGAGTAACCGATCAGGCGACTATTGCGCTACGCGCTCAGGGTAGGACCCGCTCTTTGATTTTTTTTATAATGGCTCTATTTTGTTTATTATAACTTTTTTAGAAAAATGAAATCTGCTAATCGCTCTCAAATTATGCAAACTACCACCCCTACAAATTTGGACGCCAAATTCGGAAACACCCTATATACTCACCATGCGCAGTTAATGGAGCATATGCCTATATTTAGCTGCTGCTCTTTGATCAGTCATTTTTCCAGTTTTTTTTTTTATTGTTTTTCACAAATTATTGACTAGAACCTCTATAACAAAATACTGTTTTTTTGGTAAAAATTACAAAAAAATTTGTGAAAAATTGGTATGTTGTGTCCCTTGAGTACTAGAAGAAATATCATTTCTATTGCATGTTGGCGAGTCTTGAAAATCAACATTATGGTTAGCTGCTACGCTTGTCAAAGCCTTATCAGTTGGACCAAGCCAGTTGTTTTTTGCGAAGTCTGCAAAAAAACAAGTCTATTCTGTCTGTATGTTCAGCAATAAATCATTAGATATACTAGCCATCATAAATACTGTACCTGGTTTGTTATGGAAATGCGACGAATGTCGAAATAACTGTATCGCAGTAAATCAATTAAATATTGTTAAGAGTAAGATTATAGGCCTTTTCGACTGACCCTAAAGTCCACTCTTAGCGGTAACCACGAGTTATATAAAGGGGCCCAATTTGTATTTAAATTGGCCTCTAGATAACACACGACTAGGGGGTTAAGTTCAGAAGGAACCCTAACTTCCTGACGATGATTCAGAGGACGGGGAAAGGGTTTGCCCTACATGAACTATTCCCTTGGGCAGCTTTCTCTCTCAGAGATCTGACTAAGCCATTGGCAATGAAAAGCCTTTGAATGATCGTAAGTTTTCATAAACCAAAGAAAGGAATCTACTTAATTCGAATAATTTCGACCGCTCGTCAACAAAGACCAAACGGAACTCCCCGAATATTCACTTGTAATGTTTCAAGAGTGCTCTTGTTGATCTTTCTTGTCCCTGTACTTTAATATTATGATTTAATAAAACCTTGTCCAACTACACGTTTTATTATTTTATTGAATATATGTTTAGCGCGCCTGCCCTTGGACAAAACTTTACAAATCATAACATACCTATTCACAGGGTGTTATATTAATTCGTAACAATATTAAGTCTATGATAAATGATAAAGTTCTCTTTCCTTAAAACACAAATCTTCCATAAAATTAGATGTAACAAGTCGTTTAGGAAAACTCCTGTCTTGAAGTAACTCGATATTCTGATGTCATAAAAAACAAAAGTCTTCCACTCTTCGACCTAAAAACACTAGTCAGACAGTAACGCATACCAAATCAGATATATTCAGAAGTGTGAATCCAGGTCAATCTCATGTTCAGTTATCAAGAGTCTGCAATATCAGGGACGGTGGACTTGCATCGGTTGCAAAAGTAAAGAAGAAAATGAAAGATTCAAAAAATTGGTTGGAGATAAATTCTCTAATGCTTATGAGATCGAAGAAACCAGAGAACTTTTTTTTTGTGTCATCGGCATCAACTGCTATGGTTATTAGAGCCTGTCCAGACGAGCCACTCTGTGGCGCCACTCAGTCGCGCTGTCAAGTGGCGTGTACAGGCCACTCGGTGTCGCCACAAAGTAGCGATCACTGGTCGTTCGTGTGGACGTGCTAGCTACTGAGTAGCGCGATTCCATGGTAGGCTCATGTTGGAAGGTAATTGAAATTTGCCCGTGTCATTATGGACTCAGGACCAGGAAGTAGTCATTCCAACGCTTCTAGCGATACCTTCATGCCTTGTTCTTTGCACCAGAATCCATTACTTTAAATTTTTTTAAGAAAATTACACCAAATTTCCTCCCAAACTTTATTCTTTAATACCCTATTGCTATATTCTTTCGAACTGCTTTTCCAAACCGCAGGACGTTGTTTTATTTAGACTATAAATCACTCAGCACAACATAGTTAACGATCATGGTAGAATAGTTGATCCAATACTACATAATTGTATATGTATGGTAGAAAAATCGATTGAATGAAAAGTCTCAGTGCTCATCGAGAATGCTGTGTTGTTATCATTACGTACAAGTTATTAAACAATATTATACATGATCCAGCCCTTTTAGGAAATATGAACTTTCTGATTCCACGCTTAACTTCTCACACAACTGATTTCTTTTACCTACCGCCAGTTTACAAACTATCATATTTGTAATAAATGCAGTGACCAGTTTGACTTCTTTCATAGTAGCTTTACATGTATACGTAATATGTCTAAACTAAACTCTGTATTTTTTCTTTTTCATATATTATGTTCAACTGAATATTAACAATAATTTGGTTTTGTACTAAATTCTATATTTTGATTACTCCCTCTGTGTAATTGGTTTCTGTTAATTTATAAAACAAAAATGAGCTGGTTGTTGGTTAGTAATCCAAGTGCAAGAAAACTCATGAGAAATATATTTTTATCTATATTTGAGATAAAGTAAAGTATGAAAACAAAAATGAGAGTAAACAATTACAATTTATGTATTTATAAAAAAGACACCCTAAATATATGTTGACGGTAAAAATGTAATTATGATAAATCAACAAAAGAAACCTTCAAAATGTACAAATGAAGTACAATAATTATTTTAGAAAACTGCTAAACAGATTTTAAATTTCTAATCATTTTTTCTACCTTAAATAATACAAACTAATAACTACAAATGTTTACGTATCTTGTCCTGGCACCTTCTTCTCGTATCTCTTGATCTGTAACTTATTTCCAGCATGGTGCCTCTTATCCAACAGAGAATCAATTTCATTTTTCTGCATAGGTTTCATAGTAGCGTTCAGAATTTGATGGCCTCCGCTCTTCAATACAACCTGTCCGTTCCTGACTTCTAAGATACCTTTTTTGGCCATTGCTTTCATCTCGTCTTTGGTAAGAATGAATTTTTTCACTTTTACCATTTTATCGCCGACTTTTTTTAGGCTGCTTGCTTCAGTATTGAGTGGTAATGTCGTTTGTTGCTGTTGCTCGTTTAAAGAACTCATTCTTAAAAAAAAAACTTACTGTATACTCGTATTATCTAATTAAGTGCATACTACGGACTTCAGAATTTGTGGATTCGGTTTTACTCGCATTGACTATACCGAAATTTGTCAGTTTTCATGGCAGGTAATTTAAATATTTCAAAAATCAATCAATTACATATGGCCACGGACTTCTTAAACTAAGTTTTAGGTAGGATACTAAATACTGTTTTTGAGTGCGCCCTAGAAGATTTTAATAAGTGTAATAAAATATATGAATGAATACAATAATATTAAGCCCTACTTTAATTTTTTTTGACCAATTTCTATGATACTCGTCATTACCCATGTACCTAAAAAATTTATTAAAAAAAGACTAGTAATCTTTTCTTGGCGAATTGCCTTGACTCACAATTTATATCAGCTAAATGTAGTAATTATAAACCGTTTTTAAGTATTATATAAGCCAATTCCACATTCCCCATTATTTCCCCAAATCTGGGTAAAAGTGATGAAGATTTGTGGATATGGTAACGTGGCTTTGCATAGGAATCGCTGGCAAGTACTCTCCATATTTCCCCGGAAATGGCAACACTGTAACACCGATCTTTGATAGCGAGCAGTGTTCACGCCGTCACAAAGGGTTCAAAATGAATATACTACTAAAATTTGATATTGAAAATGAATCAAAATTCTTAATGATGGAACTGGGGGGAGGATCAAAGAACAAAGAAAAACCTATTTTGCCTTTTAATTGTGCCGATATTAAAATTTGAAAACGATGGGCAGCTTCAAAAGACTGGTATTTTATTTTTTATACCATGGGCCTGTATAGAAATAAAATGCTTGGTCCAAGGCCCAAAGATGTTTTTAATATTGTGATTGACCTTCTTAAAATCTAATTCATATTAATTTTTAGGTAAATAGGTTATGTACCTACTGTAGAAAGTTGCAACTAGTCATGGTTTGGGAATTAAATAAAAGAAGTACTTAAAAGTATAAATTGAATTTAAAATTAATATAAAATATGTAGTTAATATTTAAAATGTTTTTAGAAGATGTTCCTTGAGGCTAAGATTCACTTTTAAGGAGGAACAAATGACTAAAATAAAATAAATTAATTCACTTTTTGATCAAAGTTGTACCTAGTAAATGTTCCACTTTTTTTCCACCCTATTAGAGGTGAATATTTTTAGTGTATCAATTTAAATTTCTAATTTTTATTCACATTTATGTATATTAATGTTGTTTTTTCTGTTAAACAAGGTGTTCAATTTGTACATAAATTAATAAAGGTGCTTAATTTATTGCTTGTAATGGGTTATACTGTGGCCGAAAAAGTTGAGGTAAAACTCTTTTTGTGTTCACAAGAATAATGAAAATAAGTAGTGGTCAAAATATAATGAAAACCCCTGTATATATGAAACGTAATCTAACAAATAGTAAAATACCACTATATTGAACAATAAAAATAACATGTAGTATTTATTACATGAGCTTATAAAACTATCACCCCTTGTAACAATTACTTAAGAAAGTATTGCACTTTATTAAAGGAGAAACAGTGAGCTATTGAACTGAGAAAAATAATTCGAAATAAGTTGCTCTATCTCCGAAAATATAGAATGGCATTTATGGTTAAGTCGGATGTGAGCAAAAAAAACGACTGATGAAAACCGCAATTTATTATTTCAACTAGTTCAAAAATTACAGGGTTTTAGAAAGGTTCAAAAATATAATGGAACACCTGGTATAAAGACAATGTTTAAATTTAAAGTGTATTTGCAATGGTAAGTTTCATAGAAGTTTGAATTAAACACTGTAAGTCAAGTGTGATTTTGAAAATTTTCAAATAATTTATTAATGAAAGTCCTTAGATAATATTTAAATTGAAACTATAATAGTATATTATGACACTAATGTATAATCGAGAATTTAAAGCATGAGCCTTAAACGTTGCATTGTGTCATATGATTTTTTAGTATAAATGCGTAATTACAATAGTAACAGTAGTAATAACTTTAATTGAAAAATGCAAATTAATGTCCATATGCATTTTATCGAGTGGGTAGGTAAAAAACGTAATATGGCTCTTAAAATTATTAGAAATGAAAAGAAAAAATATTATGACTCTTAAATTCTATTAAATTATGGAATATAAACAAATTGACTTTGTAGAAATTGAAATAAATGAAAATTTAATTATAAAAGACATAATTGAAATGACAGATCCATTTAACACATATTATATTGATAGTATAATTGATATTAATATAAATCAGAACGTTTAAACTTGCTAGTTTTGCTAGTTTAAAAGAAATTGTTTTTGATATGTCAAATAAAGGAAGTCCAGATAAAATTAATGTACTGTTTTTAAAAAAACTGTTTCGAAAATATTGGTAATCCATTGATAAATATAATAAATGCCTCGTTTGAAACTAATACAGTTCCAGACGACTTGAAAATTTCAATAATAACACCAATAGCTAAGGTCGAGAATTCAAATAAGGCAGTGGACTTTTACGTCCTATTAATATATTTTGTACAGTAGGTACAAATTGTTTTAGAGAAAGTAGTATATAATCAACTAATTTAATATCTGGAAGAAAGTTACCTGGATAATAGAAAACAAAAATTAAGATTTAAAAATATTTTATCAAAAAAACAAACAAAAAATTAGGTGTACCCCAGGGAAGCGTATTGGGCCCATTATTGTTCCTTCTATATATTCATATTTCTCATATTGGTGTTGTTTTAATTCATTACAAGTAAATATTAATAAAACTAAGTTTATGATGTCGTTGAAGTCGTAAAAAAAACAAATACCTGGAAGTAGTAGTAAACTATATGTTGTTTTTTAAAGATTATACAAAATCAACTACTTGTACCAGTACTCAAAATATCTTATAAACAGTAATTTTGCCCCCATTTCACTTATTGTGCCACCATTATGTATTTACTTAACCAGAATAAAACCAACAGACTTCAGAATTTACAAAATAGAGCAATGAGGATATTATTATCATGAGATAAAAGGGCCATTATAGATGTTACAAAATTTACAATGGCTTTTTGATAAAAACTATTAACTTTAACATTCATTTATAAAATTAAACATGGACTGGTTTCCACTTATTTGCTTGATAAAATCAATTACAACTTTGACTATCATAACTGTGACAAAAGAAATAGATCTAAGTTGTAACGAAGTCCCTAAATTTTGCTATCAATTAATTTAAAAATGTATATTTCAATTAATTCCCGCCTGAGAACATGTAGAAGTTCCCCCGTATTTCTGTTTCCCAGAAATTACCGTTTTTCAACAATTGCGAAGTACCCTCGTAGATTAAAATATTCTTATATTTGCCGAAATCCGAATGGGCATTTTGTAGAGTCGATTTCGTACCGATTATCTACCTTTATTTGTCAAGGTACTAGAAAAACATTTTTTTATTTTTTAATTGTAAACAGTCGGCTGTAGTGGTGGTATCCCCCACTCGGGCTTACCGGTCTTCCATCGTTCTCAGCGAAAAAGCATAAATTCGATGACATCTGGGCATTACTCTATCTTGATTGCCGACAGCCGAAAACTATTCGCCCTTCTATAGTGCCTAGTAAATAATCCGTGCGTGACCGTAATATCATCGCATTTTTGTCCCAAACACCGCGCTGAAAATTATCATTCTCGTTCAATAATTGCCAGAGCGTCGATCTGTCTGGTCTAAGATACAGGGACGTTCCGAAAACTTTGATTTCATTTATTTGCTTGCATTTTATTACCGTCATATTTAAATTGTTTTCGAGTGTATTAATTTATTTTTAATAAATTTTCCGTATATAGGGAGACGTTAATATTTAATTAGTTTTCATTGGTAATAATTAATTTTTAAATAAATTTTCCGCATATAGGGAGCCGTTCATAATTAATTACCGTTGTATTTTTTTGTAAATATATATGTTATTATTACCTATTCCTATGTTTCTCTTATTACTGGTTCTTAACCGTTCTCTTTCAGGGTACCGTAGGGTACGAGGTGTAAAGGAGATGTGTTTTATTTTTATTTATTCTAGTATAGCTTTTAATGAGTTCCCCTAGAACTCAGCTTTGCTAAATAAAAGAGAAATATAAATTATATAATTTACTTATAATCATACCAACCTAAATTTTACCTAATATAACTATGGTCACAAGTTAGACATTACTCCGAGTCCAGAGATTCTGAAATCCATGGTGCACCCTATCAACCCAGTTATGCTAAATGGATTTGCATTTTTTTTTTGTTAAATGTCTAAGATTTATGACTGTTTTAAAGCAGATGAAAAAAGTGTCTTTACAGGTGCAGTTACAGATGAGACATAATATTTTGCTTAATTGCTACTATTAAATGATATTCTTGAACTCTACCTGATTTCTGCTACTGGTACTGGTTTAGTACTGGGAATATTTTTTCTCTCGTACACTTTGGTCCCTTCTTGTCGGACGATGGGTTTGATGGATTGAATTTCTGTAATTTCAACTTCATCTTCTTCTTCTTCTTCTTCTTCTTCCCCTTCGTCCTCATCTTCTTCCTCTTCAACGCCAACCACTTCCGCGTTTTCTTCCGCCTGTTCTGATTCACTATCAATTTCATCTTTCAAAAATTCTACCCTTGATGAGAAATTGTCCCGAAAATCTTTGATGACTGCACGTTCATCCATTTCTTCGGGTTCTTCCTGGTTGCCTAAAAATTTCATAAAGCATCAATACATCGTAATTAAGAATTATCGAAATAATACTTTTTAGTCCAGATTCTGGATTATTAACATCTACTATGGTATACTCTCTAACTTCTCCCTCTTCCACTTCATCTTCTTCAGAATCCAGCTGATTTAGTGATTCTGAGAACACCTCTTTTTCAATTTGATCTTCATATTCCATTTCAGCATGCTTCAATTCATGTTCTTCTAATTGCTCTGAGGTTTCAAAACTGTAGTCGCATTTTTCACATGGGAAAGGCAAACCTAAAGTAATAACAAATATCTAATTTATTAATTTTCAAAAGAGACCATGTGTTAAAATGTGGTCTAATGTCTATGTTTTGGAAAAACTTGAAAACAAGTAGAAAAATTAGGTAATGGATGATAAAATAAACGATTCGATTAAATAAAATTCCGACTGCGCCATATAAGATACTGAAAATCAATATCGCTGTTCCGGTAAAACAATGACAAGTGCAAAAATATGACGTTTTGATTTTAACATGTCATTAGTTTCCAAATTAGTCTTTGTATACGGTATAACAACGGCGTAATTTTATATCCACTTGGGGCTGCTAGATGGTAGTTGCGTCACTTTTCAAATATTAACGTTTGCCCCTCCACTTTTGGAAAAACAATGACACACGTATCAGTTTTATCTGAAATTCTGAAATATTACGGGAGACATTACTTACTCGGTGGTTAAATGACGTATTTGCTATTTAGGACACGTTGTTTATGATTCATGAGCCAAAATTTAGAAGTAATAATATTCGTTTTTCGTCTCTCCTGAAAAATTTATAATTTTGCATTTGTGTCGTTGTTTTACCGGAACAGCGATATATTACAGAAAATATAGAAAAACTTTAACCAAATAAACCACTGACCTGTCAAATGTGTAGTAATATGCTCTTTTACATTGCTGGCCGAGTCGAACGTAGTATTACAAATAACGCATTTCAAATTCACCATTGAGTGAATAACACTGTGATTGATTAAAGAATCCTTCTTTCTAAATGACATGCTACAAATGTCACATTTGTGCTGACCTACTTGATCGATTGACGTTTTTGATGCGTAGTGACTGCGCATGTGTCTGGTTAAGTGGTGACTTAATAAAAAGGTCCTTCCGCAAAGTTTGCAGGGATAAGGACGCAATCCGGCATGAGAAGTAATGTGCCTGGTTAGTTTGATGGCAGAAGTAAAACTTGCCTCACAATAATTGCATTTGTACGGCTTGTTTTCGCTGTGGACTATTTCGTGACGTTCCAAACCCTATGTATAGAGAAAGAGACCAATAATAGATATAGTGATGCAAACTCTATTTTTTCATAACAAATCGTCGACTTACTATGAAAATTTCTGGCATCAATAAAAAACCAATTAAAATCGTTCCTTTTCAGTTACGTGCATCATCATATCCAATCAACTTTGACTTACACTGATAAGTTCCCTAAGGGTGTTATCACTGAAGTCAAGTTTGCACCAAACAAACCAATGTGTAGGAACTATTACGTCTATTTTTTAATTCTGCTAAATGATAAAACTCAAAATTGGACGTTTCGTTTAATAACTATTTTAATAATTATTTATTAAAAGGGTTCACGGTAGACAGTAATTCATGACTTTTTACTCTTTTTCCCATTTCTTTATCAATCATCAATATTGAACTTTAATCTGGTGTATGTAAACCAGGTTTCTTAATATGACATTTCTAAAAAGTCAAACTTTGACACTTTAAAATTTTTTTTTAATGTCTCGATTTGGTAAAATAATAATCAAAATATTAATATACTAAAGAATTGGGTAGTAAATATGAGAAAAAAGATGGTACCGATTTTAAAGAATGTACACAACTTTTTATGGAATGTACAGTCAAGACTTTATGGAATGTAGCTAGTAAGTTACTTTTTATTGAATAAATGAGTTAAAATATGCCAAAAATTTTCTGACCGAATATCTCTCCGGCCAGTGATAAATACTCATAATTTTATTTCAAATACCTCAAGCATGTTTCTTAAAGTAACAAAATGAAAAAAAATAATTTCGACTTATCACTGTCCTTGGTATATTACTACTGAAAACCTCCTAAGTCAAAGTAGACTGATTTTACAGGAGACACGAAAAACATTTCTTTTGTCTTAATCTAAGATATGACAATGAAGCTGGAATGTGAAATAATAGACTTATGAGATTTTGAAAGTAAGCCGACGAAATATAGACCCACGTTGGGCGCCGTTTGAAATAGAGATTTTTAATTTTCAAGTTTCAATTTTTCCAATGGATTAAGTAAATTACTTTGGAGTGGGTTCAATTTCTGCAACTTTCACCAAATAATATAGGGTAAAGTGAAGTTTTATTTAATATAATTAATTACTGTACCAATTTTTCCTACTTGTTAACTCAAATTGGATAGTAACTTACTAATCATTTATTGTAGGGACAATAAATAGGATATATTATATAGGGTCGCTTTATTTAAAATTAACAATTTCATCGAGGATAAATAACAATTTTAAATTAACAATTAACGCTTTTGTGGTATTACTTGTTACTTGAAAAATGTACTCAAAATCTACTTAGTTTTTTCTGAAAATACTTAAGTAATTTTTAACAGTAAGTACTTAAATGGAAAATACTTAAAGTACTTTTGAAACTATTTTAAGTACATATTTACTTTAAAATACTGCAACGCCAAATAAGCTCGAATTTCATACTACTCGGACAGTAAACAGTACAGTAAAGTGACAGTAAAGACGCTCAAACAAATCAAATCTTTGCGACACACGACGTCTAACGTGTGCCGATGCCGGACTTGTAGTTCACCGATACCTGGTACTAATAATACTACTCGTAATAAGAGTAATAAGCATACAGTCGTAAGATAGTATATAGTGTACAGCTATCTAAGTCCTTGGATTACATTTTGAACTCTATTCGTGAACGATTCCATCGTGTTTTTTACCTTGCAGTCTAAGATAGTAGTTATAGCAGAAGTAACCAATCCTAGATTTAAAATGAGATGGTTGAGTGCCTTCAAAGATACTGATGTTCAAGTAACCGCAAAATATATTCAATCTTGGCTATCAAGTAGTGATTTGACCTTTAAAGTATCAGTTGCGCCCGACTTGACAGAGCCCAAGAAGACCTTAAAGACGCATTTTTTTATTTTAAGAATGATGCCGAGGTTAATGTTTCTTCAGATACTGCTATAAGGCTCCATTCTACTGATACTTTTCAGAACCAGTTTGAATTTGAATTCCTCAAATACCTGAAAGGGTCACCTTGTCAATGCTGAACGAATACAATATTATTAAACAGTTATTTATAAAGTATAACTGTATTTTACCGTCATCTGTCCCCGTGGAACGATTATTTTCTTTTGATGAAATAATTAATGCTCCTAGACGTCATGCGTTAAGTGGCACCAACTTTGAAAAGTTGGTACTGCTCAAAAGTAACAAACACGTATTCTAGGAAACGTATTAGTTATTTATTTATTTTTTTTTTTTCCAAATATCCAATATCCTAATAATGTATTTCGGTTAGGTACCTCTGGTACCTACTTTAAAATAATATTATTTTTGAAAAACAATACCTATGTACATGTATTGTTATTCTCATACTCATATTATGTTATGTGTTACGTATTACGTTTATGACTTTGACTACTTTATGTTACCCATTCTGACGAATAAAAAATATATTGAAATATAAATAGATGAGTTTTTTATTTACTCGTATATGAGCAACAAACAATGATTCTTGTAAGTCATGATATCCATAGTCATGATGATATGAAAACATCTGTCACGAGTTTAAATATATAATTTATATCATCATGTCATCATCTAACAAGTAACAATGTAACAAAAACGGCGAGTAAAACTCAAGATTTCAATTATTTTAATAAACCAAGTATAGATTGTATATTGTATGTTATACACATACAAACATATTGGATAGCCATTTTTGTTGGTCATGTCTAAACGAAATAGTAGTGTACCTTATTAATTTATACAAAGCTTTATATATTTAGTTTTAAGTTGATAACTCAAGAGGGGACCTTTAATTTAATATATACTTAAGACATGACTTAAGTAATTAGTATTTTAAAATACTGAAACTTTAAAAGTACTTTAAGTATTTTTAACATATTTTCAATACTTAGAATTACTTCAGTATATTGAATTTACTTTAAGTATTTTTAAAGTATGTACTTGCTACTTATGCTTGAATTATTTGTTTTAAGTAATATACTTAATATTTCAAGTACTTTCGTAAAATACTTATACCTAATATTGTAAGTAGATTTGGAATTTAAATTACTTAATACTGGTTATTTAAAGTACCTTTGCTAAATACTTATCACAGCTCTGCTTAAGAGAAACAAAATATAAGATAATTACTTGCAACATACTCAAAGTGAATCGAGCAATTTAATCTATTGTCTATAAAAAATCCTAAACGTTTAATCGTTTTGTTTTGTGTTGTAAATAACATTTTTTGTGATTTTTCTCTATTTAGTCTGAGGCTATTACCAGCAAACCAATTTTCAGCTTTTGCTTCCATACGCAATGAACTGTGAATTAATTCATTAAAATTTTTGTCTGACCATTGTAGAGCAGCATCATCTGCAAAAAGCACACAGTTATGAGGATTCGGATTCATGTACTGTGCAAAATCATTTATAGGATGATTCAGAACTATTGAGACATAGGCTAAGGGCAGGTTATTTGGACCAAAATATGGCGATAGGACCAAATATACCTCCATAAAATATTGCTGTGGAATTAGATACAAGGTGTTAAAGTTGAATTTTTTTTTTTTCGTTTTTTTCTGATATCCCTGTATATTTATCAATTGTTATCAAAATCGGCACAGAGGCATATTATTGTACAAGGAATATTATTTTATTTCACATTTTGTTACAGGAGGCGCCACGTGATCAAGAATTTATGTGGTAGCTTTTTTGACGAAACTTTTTAGTATTTTTGATTAGAAAATATGATGTAAATATTTCTACGTAATATTGGTACTCCTGTTTGAACACAATATATTCACCCGTTTTTGTGAAAAACCCAATTGAACAGCTCAAAAGACTCGGATGGGGATTTAAAAAAATATATATCATTTATGAAAAGTGTGCTTTGCAGTATCAGATAATTGTGCCTGATACATGTAATTTATTGTTAGTGAATTATTTTTGCTGAGAGATGTCCCAATAGTTATGAATCATATAAACCAACCAATTTTTTAAATTATTTCAGGTTTTTTTTTACTTTAAAATTCTTATATACAGGGTGACTCATTAAGGGTAGCGACCGGCCGTATCTCAGAATATCTTGAAGTATATATTTTTTAAAGAAATGCAAAAATAGGTCGAGTTTTATTTCAAGGGGGACACCTTTCTATAGTATCCTTATCTGTAATATGTCATTCGTTATCATTTTAACGCCCTCTAGCGGAATAAAATACTGTTACGTTTTGCAAAGTGGGACTCTTCATTTAAAAGCTAATTTTATTAGTAATTCAATGCACTACATAATGTGTTAACTAAGATCAAAAATTAACTTAAAATAAAAAAAAGTTTGCATTATTACTAACTTTATTTTTTGCAAGTACAACATGGAGGTATTTAGGTTAATATTGTAGTTTATTGGATAACTAATAAAATTAGTTTACAAATGAAGTGTCACACTTTACAATACGTAACAGTTTTATATTCAGCTAGAGAGCGTTAAAATAAAAAATTAACGCAATGAACAATGATTGCTGAATTTCCTATAAAATTACTTTTAAAAACGTGTTATGCTTTGGTACTTCCATATTTAAATTGTACTGGTCAGAGTGGCAAAGGGGAGAAGAATGACATGACAATTGAAATAAAAATCGTACTAGTTTTGCGATCTACTTCCAGATATTCAGACATAGAGCAGGGACAGCTGGAAAGGCTTATGTAAAGAGAGGTGGTAAACGTTAAACCCCATCGGACGACTTCGATAATTTCACAGTAATGTTTACTTGCCAGTGTTGCATCATAGAATAAAAATAACATTTTAAATAATTAGCGCATTTATTTATAGGCTTGAAGTAATAATATCCGAAATAATCATAATTCTACAAAATTTTAACAGCTATTCACAATTTATTAATCTATTTACACAAAATTGTTATTGGCATCTATAAAATAATTTTCTACGCCAATATGTAGCGTTCACTTGGGTTAACTCTGCGGCGAAACTGTCAAATCCTGTCCTTAATGAATCGCCCTATACAATACTAGCTGAAGAGAATATTATGATATCGGTATCGGCCACAAAAATCATATCGATCGATCCTTATTAAAGCTTGTAAAGCTGTTCTACCTGTGAATAGTTGAGCCATGTATATGAATTGTTTTTGACTGTAAAGCCATATACTTATCCTAAATTTAAATAAATGCGTCGTTTTGGGGTGGACTCACAATGCTTGGGTATAAAAGTGATACGTTACATTTGACCAGGTATACGAAGCCCACTTGGTACTTATGAAGCCCGATTTTGGGCTTCCTAAAAACCCAGTATATAAATTCGTATTAGAGGCAAGTAACTCCATCTGTATCTTTTAAGAAAAAAATGGGGGGGCTTTAAAAAGTCGGCAAATACCTCCAAATACGCACTTGTAGTTCAGAGGCATCAGCGGCAGGGGGCACAAGAATCAAATGCGTTTTATATACATGTTAAATGAACCAACAATACGAAGTCCGTCATATCCGGAAACACTGTAGTCTCGGGAATAATGAATTATTTATCCATTTCAGATTTATTTCAACGTATTAACACATTACGGTGCATTTTTTGCAAAACATTTTTTTCACTAAAAATTTGATATTATTTAAAATTTTTAGATAAATTCATTTAGTTGTGAGAAGGGAATATTAATAAATGTACCTGAAATATTTATTGTACGGAAAAGTTTTATACTTCATTTTATTAGGATCACCAAAACTCTAAATAACAAGTATTAAAAGTAATTTTAAAAAACCTACTTCAAAATCGTGCAGATGACATCACCACATCTGAACCAAAATTATATGGGACCACCTCTGAGTTACCCTCTTACTAACAAAAAAAAAAAAAAGAAATCTGACAGGATGGTAAAGAATTATCATTCAACCTACATCAAAAATGAATAGTTTGATGATTTTCTCATGTCCCCATTTTTAGATTTTGACTAAATTTATATGGGACCACCCTGAAGTACCCCTTCTCTAACAAAAAATCTCTGCAGCTTCTTGTTGCTTCCCATCTTTCCTTGAATTTCACAAGGGAATGTTATTTAAACAGGTTTGCCACTACCGATGTAATGAGTCCAATTAAAGGGTCAGGTCCAAAAAAGTATTTGGTTGTCTGCCTTCTTGGCTAGTGAATCAGCAAGACAGTTATGTTTCAATGTGGTGACCTTTGATCAATCTTAAATTGACCACATTATTGATAGATACTTCGGCCAAAGCTACATGACATTCTAGTACTAACCCTGAGTCTGTCCAGGGTGAGTAGTGCTTGTCTGCTATCTCTATGTTTGATACTGTTTCTTTTAACTTCTTTTGATGCTATGAGAATCCCGTGAGCTCTATTTGAACTGCACTGAAATTATTGCTCACAGCCCATTTTATATTTAGGTCTAAGGATGGGTACTGTATCCTACATCTTGAGCCTTGTTTTCTTTTAGAATCGTCTGTGTAGATATGAATTTTACCCTTATATGGCTTATGGAAGATATATCTCGGTGAGATGGGGTCCATGTTCGCTTGAGCAAATGGAAGCGTATCCAGGGCCTCCTGCCAAAAGCGAAGTCTCGCCAGATCCTACTTCAGGTTCTATTCCAATCGTGCGAAGTCTTGTCATTGTCATCAGAGCAACCTCTTTGATTAAAATGTCAAGAGGAGTGAACCTCTTTGTTTAAAATATCAAAAGGAGTGAGATTGAGAATGACTTCTATGGCTCTGGTTAGTAAGTACATAAATCGATTGTTTGAAGAATAGCACAAATATAGTATACAGGGTGATTCCAAAGTTAATACTTCTTTTTTAAATGTGTATTCATAAAAATAAACAATTAAAAAAATAACAAGGATTTTGGTCTGGTCGCCATGCAACTGTCATATTTCAACAGATACACTTATTCTGAAAAGTGATGTTTAAAAACTCTCCCACTTTCCGACTAATGATAGGGCCCAGATTTATATTTTACAATACGTAACTTTCGTTGTTTCATGGCCACCAAGCTAAATCATTGGATTTTTCGTTTTTTTTTTGTTATATTTTGGACTTTTTTTTGAAAATTAAATTTATTTAATAATTATGTATTTAAAAAAGTTAAGTCATGTATATAAAGAAGTAATTTATTTGAAAAAGTAATTTATTTAAAAAATTTATTAATTTGAAAAAGTTAATTTCAAAAAGTTAAGTTAAGCCTGAAACCTAAAAAGCCTGGTCTAGAGGTAGAGCATTTGTGTACAGAACAAAGATGACTGGGTTCGAATCCCATCGACAAAAGGCTTTTTTCAAATCTCCAATTATTTGTTTTCACCTTCTAAAAATACACATACGGAATACTTATTATTTTCTGTTCCATTTTTAATTTTACATAGTGTTAATTGTAGTGCTGTTTCACATGAAAGTTTACGCCTGAGAAAGTTATTTATTTGAAAGAGTTATTTGAAAACTTTGAAATCACCCTGTATAAAATTGACATAGTGTCAGAAATTCGCTGATGACCATTGGGATCTCGAAACTCTTAAAAATTATGTCAATTAAATTTTGACATCCATGCACAATTGATACTCAGTCACAATAGTCAAAAAAGCTGAAACTTATTAAAATTCAAGCAACACTGCCGGGCTTCTAATAAACTTCTGAGCAGAAGAAACCAAAGGGATCTTAAAATATTGTTTAACATTATTAACTCATCTGCCGATTGTCCATACTTGGTATCTCAAATTGGATTTTCTGTACCCTCTAGAGTAACTAGGAATATTAATACATTCTCTCAACCTTTTCATAGAACAAATTATGGTTCTCACTCTTTTATTCCTAGAGCAACAAGATCTGCTAACAGACTAAATGTAGAATGGATTACTTCTCCATCAGATTTTTCTATCCATTTATGTATATGTGAGGAGTAATTTTTAATTGTTTTTAATATTTATGTATTTAAATTAATTTATTATTATTATTTAGGATTTTATTACTATTTAATGTATGTAATATGTATTATCTGTAATTGTATTGTTTTAATGGGCTCTGACCCGTAAATAAATAAATAAAATAAAATAAAAATATACCTTGTTAAATATACAACACTGAACTAATAAAATATTTTATTTCTAAGTCCCGATTCATCCCACACAACCGGGCTTTGACTTGTCTGTGTGATGTGGGACTCCTATATTGACTCTGTATTTCAGAGGTTGCATGCCTTTATAAAAAACTGACTATGATATTTCAAAAAGGACTTTTAATAAATTCAGAACATTACCTCTAACTCCATAATACAACTTTTCAATAAGCTATGGGAGGCACAGTCAAATGTCAGGAATGTGTGAAGTATGCTGACTTACATTTTTGAACATGCAATATCTTTGAAAGAATTTCTTTCATAATACAAACCAAGCCAATCAAATGCTTAAAATACACAATTATTAGCTCAATTATAAATTTTTCCAATCCCAGGAGCACTGCCGTTTTTTAAAGAATTTATGTGTTCAATTTTCATTTTTGTTAACTGGTGGAAAATATGTACTCCCAAATTAAAAAAAAATACCAACTTTCTTTTATATACCTACCTGTTTAAAAACAAAACTCTTGTTGCATATATTACAAGTAAATGGCTTCTTCTTATTGTGCTTTTGAAGGTGAAATTCCAAATATTCCTTGGTCAAAAATGTCTTGTCACACTCTATACAAACATATTTGGGTGCATCTATATGAATCTTCTCATGCCTTCTTAACATTGGTTCTCGTGCAAAAGATTTCTGACAAACCACACATTCAAATTCTTTGTTGGGATTATGAGTAAGAACATGTTTCTGGAGATCATATTTAGTGTAGAATTTACTCTGACAGACATCACATTCATAGTTACGCTCTCTAGAATGGTTTTTGACATGAATATCAAGAAGCTGTTTCAGTGGAAAAGACCTATCACATTCTGAACAAGAATAGCAGTGAGTTTTTACTTTAGGTTCTGCAGATGTTTTATTTCTTTTTAATACTTCAACAATGGGTGTTTCTTTATCCTCTTCTTCATTATCTTCGATTTCTTCAAAGTCCATCTGACTTTCTTCTTCGACTATTCTAGAAGGTGATGTCTGTGATTTTTCAGTATCATCATCATGATGTACTACTGTGATGGTCTTTTCAGCAGCTGGGTGGACTCTTATCTGTACTACATTTTGCATATATGGCTTAGAGAGTTGTCCAGTAACGAGAAACAATTTTAGAGCATCATCTGCTTTTTTACAGTTTGTTTTGAAAATATAAGCTTGAGTAGTCAATTCACGGCAACTATTGCAAATGTATTGTGGCATATTATCATTTTTCACCACTTCTATGGCTATGCATGCCATTATTTGAAGAGGGAGAGACGGCAATGGAATATTTACAGAGTTTTTGTTAAGCCTTTCATGAATACTAGTTAAATCGTTTTCCACATCTGATAGACAAAATCTGCATACTTTCATTTGCTTTAGAATATTCGCTCTATCATCCATGGCCACAAATTTAATTTCAGCGTCACAATCAAATATTAAAATAACTCAATTCATATGTTCTAAAAATTACGAATAGTTTATATATTTCTTGATTTAAATTCGTTCGTACCACAAAATCACTTTTGTCAATTTTGTTGGTCTTTCTTTTTTGTTTATTAACAATTGACAGATGACAAGGAACACTAACACCAGACCACCACCAGACTAACACACAGAACACTTCACTCATTGCGTTCGGTCTGCCAAGTTCCTTTAACTCCTTTAACACTTTTAACTCCAAACGACCCTTTTAGCGTAAGGTTTAGTCCGATTAGTGACAGTTTAACACGCTTAAATGTCATTTAAAAGCACCCTAAAATTTGTCCCGCTCCAGCCCCTGACTGACCGAACTCGCCAAACACCAGTCCTGTACCAGAGTTGCCAACTCTTTTTTTTTAGAGAATGGTATATTAGCCAATTTTTCGACAAAAAAATGATACAATACAGGTCCGTATTTATAAACAGAACTCAGCTGAGCCGGGCTTGGGTAAGTCGTCCTTGAATTAAAATCGAAGTTCGGTTACAACATCTCTAAAGTTCCAGGTGGTTCCGGTGGTACACTGGAATTTAGAGATGGATATTAACAAATCTGAACTGTTTAAGTCAAAGAGTATGTTAGGGCCGATTCCACCGTTGTGTTAAACGGAGATTAAAATGACGTTGTTAATGTAAAAATGTCATTTTAAACGGACCTTAAGTACATTTACGGATTTGTTACTACCATCTCTAAATTCACGCGATATAACCGAACTTCGATTTTTGTTCAAGGACGACTCAGCTGAGTTCTGTTTATAAATACGGACCCTACTAATCTATATTTTAAAAAAATAATCGAAACTGAATGTACATTTGAACTACGAAATGGTCGTCGCGAAAATATGCTGTTCAAGACTTTTATTATGACGTTTAATGTTTACTTGAGTTGTTTGATGTTTGAGTCGATTTGAATTACTAAAAATTCGTTATAAAGATATTTTCCATTTTCATTTTAGGGACATTTAAATTAATTTTAACACTGCAATGGAAGAAAAAACAGTAAAACGAAGATCTTCTCTATTCGATGTTAATGCTAAAAAAAAAATTGGACGAGAATTTCCTGAAGAAGACAACAATTTAGTGTATCCCTTGGATTATATAGAAAAGTTAAATGACGAGTATTACCAGTGGAAAAATCATGTTGCAGAAACTTGTACCCAACGAGAAGACTACATAAAAAAAATACGAACACTGAAAACGGAGGTTTTTGATGTATTTGATGTTCTATCCCAAGAACAAAAAAATTTGTTGGTATCTATTAATGATTGTTTTCAGCAGTATTTAACAAAAGCTGAACTAACATTTAAAACCCTGCCAATTAGTGCAAACAAATTACATCATCACAATGATGGATGGGAAACATTAACCAAGTCTTTGGATATGGAAAGAAAAATGAAACTACAAATAAGAGAAAAACTTTTAAAGTAACGGACAAAAAATACTTTCTATTAGCGATTTACTTAATAAATTAAAATTCAAAATAACCCATCCTTATTACAAAGCTATCAGCAGTGACAAATCTTAAATTTTTTTAAATATTATCTTCGAATGTATTGTAACTTGAGCATTTATTTTCACTTATTCTTAATAAAAATTGTACTAAATATTACCGTCTGAATCATTTTGTAACCACTTCATTTTGTTAGATTTAACCTATAGTTAATACGTTCATGCCCCCAGGGACCCCTGATGTACTTTCCCAAACTAGGTTATATTTATATTTTCCATAAACCCTGTTTGTAGTTTTAACATGGGTAAATCTCCCTACACATGCCTATATCTAAATTATTTAATTTCTTACCCAGGGGACCCGAACCGTCCAGTAGGAACTTTGTATTCCTTCGGGCCCCTGGAGAAACGAAGAATCACATAACCTCTGCTGCAAATGTTGTCAGGTATTTTTTGAAATTTGGCCTTAACCTAATTTTAATGTTGATGATGCAAAAGTAGTATTATATTATTCTTGGTTTTCACTAAATTAAAGTTTTTTTTAAAAATAAAATTTTGAAACTACCTACAAACATTTTTTTTTTTGAGATAATGAAGCTGTTTATTCGTGACCTTAGGAATCCAAATCGTCTGGGCTGACAAAGATAATTCGTATCCCTGGGTCTCGAGAAGCTTAATAATATATATCCTACTATTACATTTATAATAAAACCATCATACACACTATTCAGATAAAAAAGGCATACTTAAGTATTTTTGATTGAGGCTAAAAAATTATAATTTTGCTCCTCCTGAAAAAACTGTAGCTAGTTACAAGTTTTAAAAAACATATTATACTGGGTCAATTTCAAATGGCTGGCAACTGTACTAAATGTGCTGACGTTTTTAGTGATAAGCTGATTGCTTGCGACAGTTGTCATGTCACAATGCATCCCAGTGAGGACTGTACTGGCATGGGAGCATCTGAACTTCTTGCTGTGGTTTAACAAAAAAGAATTTTGGTTTATTTTTGCCTAGCTTTCAAAAGTGTGCCCACGCTATTAAGACAAATTGATATCCTCAGCTCTGAAGTTAACAAATTGAAAGGTGAAATTCAAAAGCTCAAGGATTCTAAGAATGATACTGGGACAAGCACTGAAGAAATCATTAAGGCTGCTGATCTTCAACCATCCAGAGCCTATCAATGCTTCCGAAGACCGTAAATAAAGTCAAAATGATAATTGCAAAAGCTGCTGGTGCAAGTACTGATATCAATGGGCATACACCTCTAAGTTATCTTGAAATCCCCTCGGGACGTGAACAAAGTTATAAAAAATAAAACAATATTGGGGAAAAAAATATCTTTATACACTTGGACCAATTTATCAACAAGAGCAAAACCATTGTAACTGTCAGACGAGAGTTACTGCGGCGACAGCTTGGTAAACGAGATATAACAATAAAATATGCCAAAAATACTTCTGTAATTATTCAAAAAACTAGTAGATCCAGGCAAGCTTAATATTTATTATAAAAATGTAAGAGGCCTTCAAACCAAACTATCTCAAGTCTTAATGTCTCAAACTGTTGATACGATGTAATTATTATTTCATGGCTCACTGACGAGATCAACGATGCCGAACTTGGCCTGAACGATTACAACATCTACAGACAGGATCATACATCCCAGACAAGCATCTTTAGCAGAGGAGGTGGTGTTTTAATAAATATCTTCAAGTATTATCAACTCAAATCCATCAATTGAGCAACTGTTTATTCACTTGGACCAAAGTAAGGGCAAACACATTCCTCCCAAATCTCATTCTAACCTATATCAACTTCATTAATCAACTGTTAATCCCGTTAATCCTAAATGAGCCATAGATAAATTAATAATATTAATTTATCTATGAAATGAGCAATATCCCCATTATGCATTTTCCTTTGGGGTTTGGTTCCGGTTCTAGTTAACCAAATTAGAACCAACCATATTCCTTTCATAAACAATGACGTCACTTATAACCATTTGGTTAACATTTTTGAACCAGCCTCGCGAGTCGGTTCTAATTTGCGGTATGTTCTATCCTTATTTAAATAGTATTCTTCTCATTGTCTAACTTTTTAAATTTAGTTTTCCCGCGGAACCTAAATAGTTCCGTCAACTAAGAAAATAGATCTTACTAGACGCTTTTCTTATAAATATGAATAAGTAAAAAAGAACTTAGACAATAATCTTAATAAAATTAAAATATAGTGATCGACAAAACTTCCTATACCTAGAAATGTTTAGTATTCGAGATGAAATCTTCAAGGGCGTGTGTGTGTTTATTTTAACACCATTAAGATTAATAGTCTTGGACTGAAATGAGATTCAAAAAATGTGCCACTATTTTTCAAAAGAAGATTATCATTCTGTTTATCGCTAGAAAAAGGTCTGCATCGTTCGTTAAATGCTTTGTCGGTAGTGTCGGTTTCATTTCTATTTTATTTTAAAGAGTTTTAAATTAGTTATTAATTAATTATTAATTATTAAATTAGTATTATTTTCGTCTGTTAATTGCCCTGTAGGTAGTGTCTATTTTATTTATATTTTATTTTTATATTAGTTAATATTTTTTCTTCTATATCATATAGGTTTAGTGTTTTCTTTGGCAAATAACTAACTACACAAAAAAATTAAAAATAAAATTGAGAACTAACTAAATAAAAATGAGTCACACGTGGTATTTAAATTTACACCAAAATGACATATGACTGACCGAACCAATAACCCAATTCATTCCATTGGCTTTTGTTATGACGTCATCCATATGAACCAAAATCTGAACCGCTGTCAAAAATACTGTCAATTTAACGTCAACCATAACCAGAACCATACGTCAAAGGAAAACGACTATTGTCAGTTTTACCTTTTTGAGATTATAATCATTGCGTTCGGTCTGCCAAGATCCTTTAACACTTTTAACTCCAAACGACCCTTTTAGCGTTCGGTTTAGTCCGATTAGTGACAGTTTAACACGCTTAAATGTCATTTAAAAGCACCCTAAAATTTGTCCCGCTCCAGCCCCTGACTATCCGAACTCGCCTAATGAACCTACAGCAGTATCAGAATCATCTAATTGCTTGCTCTTACATAATTGTCCCACTGAGTATCGGTAACATTATTCAAAGCTTCTGACCAAATCTGAAATACTTCTTCCGGATACCACTTTGTTGTTAAAATGTTTTCGTCATAAAACCATTTGCACTGTGGCCGCACCATCTCTATCGCATTGAACTGGCAGTGATATGGAGGAGTTATTAATATTTTATGGTAGATTTTTGCTGCGTTTGAGAATCCACATCGGATGCATTTTTTACATCTCGAGCGTTTTTTTATCCACATCGGACACATCTGTCCCATTACATTTACGTATACTGAACCACGTGATCAAAGATTTTTTTACATCTCAGATCTGATATTTCATACTATAGATTGGATAATTAATGTTATTTTGCTGCCAACCATTTTATCTTTTGTCCAACTATAACATGGAATTGGTTCCACGTACAGCGAATGATAACTGGCATTATCGATTATAATCAAAGAAGAATGTTCTAGACAAGTATAAATTTCGTCTTAAACCATTTTACAAAACTTTCTGTGTTCATATTATTATGGTAATTGCTTGACTTTTATGTCTGCATTTTTATAAACCCTTCATTGCCACCATGGACAATTGTGTATCGAATTCCATCTCCTATTTTTTTACTTGAAGTAGCCATCGTTCCATCTTGCCAACTATTTCTATCACTTCCCTTGCTATATATACCCACGTCTCCTCCATAAATACAGGCTTAAAGTTACCCAGCTCGATATCATTGTTAACATTTTTCAAAAATTACATTTTTTTAATTGAATCGATGTTCGGTTCAATAAAAACTGCGTGTTGTTACTTCTTTTAAAGCGAAAGCCAATTTTTCGAATCCATGTATTAATTGACCTTGTAGACAATAATTCACATCAGGCATTTCTTCCGAAAATCGTTTATGAAACGATTTCACTGTTACATGTTGCGTACATCTTATATATAACTTGCCTCAACTTACTAAATATTAAAGAATCGACACATTTGTTTTTTTTGCTTACTTTTTTAGACATTATTTTTACATACTGTGTATCAGAATTTGTAGGTTTACAAGAGTAAGATTACAAAAGCTCTACAAATCGTACTAGCATCTGCAAATATCAGTTGCAAAAGAGAAACATGGTATTACGGAAACGTGTTTGCACTTTTTGCGTCTGTAAATCATCTGTAACTTTGCAGGAGTTTATAACATCCTGCAAACTTGTAGATTGTCAATGTTTACTTTTTTCTTTTTAATAACCATGGAGTACTGTTTCTTTTGATTCTCATATCGAGTTTCTAAACAATGGATTTGGGTCGCCCTGTCTATATATAGATAGTTTTCCTGTGAAATATGTAATGCCTCTGCAGCCATTTGATTGTACCTCTTTCCAACGGCCCCACGTTGGGCGCCAATGTGTTACCTTCTTTTTGATTTCTACGATGTAAATTATAGTTAATAAGTGATTTAGTTCAAATTGCTGATACTGCGTGGTACTTGTTTTATTTTAATTAGAATACTGGGATATTTTGACATGCGCTATTTTGTCTTGCGCCATTTTGTCCTGTGCTGTTTTTTCATGGAGTCAATTAATCTACGACGTGCCAAAGTCTAGTAACTTTTTGTTTAATCCATTTTACATTTAAACAAAGAAATCGAATGGACTTGGGATATTTCCGAGACTTTAGCCATATTATTAATAGAACGCAAATGGTTAGAGCTAATCACCAGTATTCTAACTTATTTCAAGTAACCTTAGGTGTTCCTCAGGAGACTTACTATTTAACTTATTTATTAATGATATAATTCATTATTTCCGTAACAGCACAGCTTTATTTGCAGACGACTTAAAAAAAATCCAAATTATTAAAACCCATTATGATGCCAGTAGACTTATTCAGTCTGGCCTAGATAATTTATCAAAATGGTGTTCTTAAAATGGCATGGACTTGAATGCCAATAAATGTCATATCATTCGTTTTTACCGTTCCCACCTACCTCCAACTACATTTGACTATAACTTAAATGGGCATATCTTAGACTCTGTTTAACGTTAATCTTCTATTCTCCAAATGATCTAGAATAAGTAATTTTAAATTTGTCAAATAATTATAATAGATATTCCATCTAAAAGAACAGTATTTTACAAATTTCTTTTGCACCCTTTCTATTTGAATAATATAAATTTTATATTAAGGATTGATGAAGAGTATTCTATAATTGACCTTACCAGTGAGCAATATACTGTTTTAATGACTGTACAGATAAATCGGTAGAAACCTATAACATTTTTAGAGCTTTGACGTTATTACATATTGTGTTCCTTGAATAAAAGAAAATTCTTGGGAGTTCTTTTATATATAGAAGCTTATAACTGAACATTTTTTAGAATTTAAAGAAAGCCTACTCCTCCGACATTAATTTATTAAAAAAAAATTATTTAAGTGTGATTGTAATAGCATATATCATAATTTTTCCCCAATTTTAAAAATCTTTATATCATCAGCGAACATAAGGCAAGAGGGGTATTGTGGAATGCAAAACTAACTGCTATTTGTTTTGAGATAAGATTATTGAATTTTTACCATTTGGACCCTTTCCAATAAAAAACAACGTAGCCAAGCTACCAAGGCATCTAACAGAATAACTTCATACGAAACCAAGTTAGTAATTGTGGATTTTCTCCCCTAACAAATATAGCTTCTCATTGCCACAATAAATAATAATTGTAAAAAGTTTATCAAATAATTTTCGTATAACGGACTGATTGCAAACTCCTCTTCCAATATTTTTATATAAAAATATTCTTGTTACCCGATTATTTTAGAAACAGGGTTGATATTTTAAAATAAAACCACAGAAAAATACTTAAAAATGTATTTATCACAATGAAAATTTTTAAAAATAGATTAGAGATGCTTTAGAATTTAGCAATTGTTAGCTTGGCGATTCTTTTTACAGCATAAATGTGTATTCATACTCATTTTAATTGCATGTCGTAATTCAGAAACAACTCTGAAAGATGTATCATACAGTATGATGCAAATGAATGGAATACATTCATTATTTCATAACTCAACTTTTGGAAAAATCCTGAAACCTGTCGATGCGTTCTGTCAGATATTACTTTTATTCGTGACGTAATCTGTGCGAGCGTGATGACGTCATCGATAGATAATTAAGACCCTCTAAATGATGTATCATATGAACTACATTTATATTTAAAAAACCATCGATGACGTCATCACACCGCACAGATGGCGCTATGAAAATAAAAATCGGCGGATTTCAGGATTATTCCCAGAAGTCAATGAGTCACGAAATAATGAATATATTTATTCCTTTTCATTTGCACCATATGTATATTATTTTTTTTTTCTTTTGGTTTACGTTTCAACAATGCAAATACATCTTAAAACATGCCGTCATTGATACCAATAGGTACCAGCACTGCTAGAAACAAAATCAAATTTCTTAAAGCCAACTTCCAATCATTTGGAACAGAATATGGAAGTAGTACTTTTGTTATATTATGAACCTCATGCGAAGCACACACAAAAATATACGTGGTTATTATGAGATTTAACACGGGGTATCCTGGAACAAGTACTAACACTCCGTGCGTATCAGCTGCCAACCAAATGTGATATTGACTAACAAATAATTCTAGTGAAATCTCACCAAACCACGCAAATAAGCTGGAATATCTCGTTCTTAATACCCCAGAAACGTTTCTTAAAAAAATATAACTTACAATCGGAATAAATACTATGTACGAATGAATTTCACTGCATTCCATCTCATTCCTGCATAAATATGTAAACATCATATAAGAGCTGATACCTACAAATGCTAATAAAGTAGAACTTAAAGCTAAACCTCTTGAAAATAAATTAGAATGATTGTTATCATCAAAAATATTGTATCTCTGAGACAGCATCATAATGACCCCAAAAATCATTCCATACATGACTGAGTACCTATCTAACTTCCATCTAGACCACCACTCATGTATATCATCATCTATAGTCACAAACAAAGCCTTCCAAGGCCTGGTAACGAAAATCTTTTCGAAAAAAACCTCTGACATGAACAATATAGTGATAACTGTGCACATACAAATGAACTTTATGACCAAATAAAAATACTGCATGGCGTTTTCTGAATTCTGAGACATAATATGCGGCGGAAATGCTGCAAAACAGTATATCATGACGTACCAAAATGACAACAGCGGAGCGAAATAATAAAATTGATATGGTCGGTTCATGCACAAGCATAGAGTGACTGTCATGAAATTCAGCTGAAACAGCATACTACAAAAGCTGACAATACCGATATCGTTTCTATACCAAACATGGTTGAAATGTTGGTAGGCCAAGAGGAACAGATAAGCGGAGATAAGCACCTTAATATGCATATTGATCATCAAAACTTTAGTAGCTCCAGTGACATGATATACCAATATGACGATCTGCATCCATCCTTTCCATTCGTTTAACTGATCGGGATGCAATACTTTATTATACTTGCTTTCTTCCATAAAAAACAATCCTAACACTGTAATATACCCTATCGGCAGCCAAAAACTGAACTCTGAATAATATTTATTTTCTTTCATAAAAAAATTTGTACGATCACAAACAAAAAAGTAAGCCATTATAAGCGCCATTTTCGCAATTGCTTTGAACAGGTTGTAGTAGCTGTTGCTTGGAGGAGGCTGTAATTGAAGTTCATTGTCAGGAAGCATCTGGTATTCATGGGTTTGGCTACCACGATATTTAAGGATCATTCTTCGTAGTGTCATTACAACTGATATAGTCACACTAAAAATAAAAAACGAGTCATTGATCTTTGATTTGACAATGAAGTCGTAAAAATGCGTGTACACTGAGGGCAGGGCAGCGTATCTTTATCCATAAGTCAATAATACATAGATAATATAAAACACAATGTTCCAACAAAGTCTAAAAAAAGTGTGAAAACAAGACTACATTAGTGAAAGAGTTCCAAATTGCGTAATGTTTGCCTTTAATGCTGGAACTGTATGCTGAGGATCATTACTACATATTCATCTAATGCCATATGGTTTAATGACATACTTGACGCTCACGATAATACTTTTACATCATGGTCCCCAAACCACTCTTTTGTTTTCGCTGTGACTGGGCGCACCGTATTCTGGAAATACACGCATTTACCTAGATCGAAGACATTTACACCCATACAGCACACATTATTTCAAAAGTGTTTCAGAAGTATTTCAAACGTTTCAAACATAACATTTCAATCACACGTTTATGAAATATTTCTGAAATATTTTAGTTAAATATTTCACTGAAAATGTTTCTGAAACATCGTATACATGTTACACAAAAGGTTTCTAAACGTGTTATGTTGTAAAAGGCCAACACTTAATGAAGAATTTCTGATTTGTAAGAAGATGGGATATAGTTATTTCTTGTCCAGCTTACAAGCCAGAGACAACCCTATATTCTAAATAATTATAGATTGGAGTTGTCGGTTTTTGCCATTTCCTTTTTTTTTGTTATTTATACGTTGTGCTGTTGTTATATGGGAAGCAGAATATGTTTTTATTAGAAATTGAGGTGAGTCCCTACACCAGTTTTATTTATTAGTTCTACAGCCGATTGAAAAGTGGAGCTTCATGTTTTATTTAGACATCAGTATTTGTATAAATCCTTTTTAATTATCTGTAATTTGTTTCAGATTAGTTAGTGCATTTAAAGGAATTCGTAGAAATGAAGCAATTTGCCAGCTTTGGGGATGTGCCAGTAAAAGTACCATCCAAGTTATTAAACATTTCCAGAATAAAGTATTAAAGAACATAGTCGATGCACCCTGGTATATACTGCCACAATACTGATCTTCATAGGGACCTTAAAGTGGAGACTGTTGAAAATATAATACAAAAATTTGCCAGTAGTCACCAACAACGACTGCTCCAACATGGAAACCTTGAGATTATCTAGCTCAACAATACCAATCTAATAAGAAGATTCGAGAGAACCAGGCCTTTTGAGTTAGTTCAGTGATGTCAAAGCAGAATATAGTGCAGATAAGGGTTATACGTTAACGGTAGTGTAAATAATTAGACTTTAAGGTATACTAGTGAGTAGAATATTAGTTTATGAAGTTTCTCGTCCCTTTATAAGTTAGATTAGAATAAAATTGTTAATTGATCTTAATGATCAGATTGTAATAATCATGTTTCTTCATTTGGGGCATTTATAAAAAAAAAATATTTGTTTCAGATAAGTGCATTTAAAGGAATTTGTGGAAATTAAGCGATTTGGTTTTATATTTTATGAAAATTCTTATGATTTATGAGCCTTCCCTATTTCAAGTAAGAGACATCGAACCAACTATGGACAACTCGATTTTGTCAAAATTATAATAAATTCTTTTTTCTATCCAAAGTAGGTTTTTGGGCTTCAAAATACAACCGCAAAGTTGGCGTTTTCGCGCGAGCTGACATTAAGTGACAGCTTTGTCGCTCGTCGAGTGGAAAACTTGACAGCTTTGTCGCTCGTCGAGTGGAAAACTTGACAGCTTCGTTGCTCGCCTAATTTAAATTAGATATAATATAATAATATTTCTTTTTATAAATGATTTTCAAGTTATGTGTACGTAGTTTGATGTTTTTTGTTTTATTATCAAAGTTAGCATTGACTTTGAATGTCAATTCAGTTTTTTATGATTAACGTAGATGTAAACAACAAATTATACACAACTACGACAAATTTTGATATATTGAAATAAATAAACCGATAACTATAGACTATCGGCCTATAATTAACCTCTGTAAAAAGCTGCTCGACATTATACATTATTAAAATTAGTTGAAATAAACCTAGCCTTAAACTTATTTCTTATTGCTAAAAGAACATCACCAAGAGAAATTTTGGACTAGAAAGTTTTATATTTCAACAAGACAGTACGCCCTGTCACCCTGCAAAAACAACAAAAAGTGGTTAGCGGGCGATGATGTAATAGTATTGTCGTAGCCCCGACTAGAATGTCATTAAACTTTATAACAGCAGATGAAGGAGAATTTGCGTAACTATTCTCAGCGTACAATTTCAGCATTAAAGGCAAAAATTATGCAAATTGGAACTTTTTCATCCCTAAATATTGCAAGAGTTTAGTAGATTATATGCCAAAACGCATATAAACTATATGTTCCGACAATGTACGAAAAGTTCAAAAAATATATTTATATATATATATATATATATATATATATATATATATTTAACATTTCATACATAAATAAATAAATATACTTGTTTCAACCTTGTTTTGACTAACATTTCTTAGCTTGTCATATGTATGATGTGTGGGTAAAGATACACTACCCCAACTGTATACCATACACAATGTAACCTTTTATCAGGCTGGATTTAAAGATGGGTAATTTCATTTGGCTCTCCTCCTGTCTTGTTGAATAATAAGTAACTAATTTCAGGGAAATTACTTCTGTGCTTGTATATTTAACAAGATAATTCTAATATAATCAGTAAAATTAATGTGAAAATTATTTCTTGAATAAATTCAATTTTCTAGGTAACAAAATCTGCACCACCACTGTCTACAGAATCTGAATCAAATTCTCCTAGTAAAAACATTACATTAATCAGTTGGGACCACTGACCTTCATATTAAACTGGATGGCTATATGACATAAACCCTACTCCTAATTTCTAAACAGACATGTTGTAGTTGAATGTAATAAGTGTTAAATTTAATTCTGATGTTCCCGTTCAGTGCATTTTGATACACACCTATGAGCGCCAGCTTGTCAAATATCGCCTCGCTATGTGGCTTATATATTGTTCAGTGGTTGGGATCTAGAATAACAAACACAGAGAAGCCACAATAACCGTCAGTCACAAAGCACATAGAGGTTCCACGTGAATGACCAAGGTCAAAACCGACAACTGACATTTTTTATGCTATTTGCTCCAAACTCTAGATGGGGCTACTGGTAAAATTCTGATTTCTTACTCCATTTTTAAGCTTTATGGGAGAAAAACTTAACCAAAGACTCCAAAGATGTGACGTGTATTTATTTATGTTTTTGGTTAATCTCATTTTTCCGTCTGATTTTAGTGATTTTTTGTTGGCTTTGGCTTTTGGTTTCTGTTTATAGTTTCGTCTTAGTTATTTGCAAAATTGTGATGTCATGCTTTTCTATTTGCTACTGTGTTTTGCAATAATTTTGATGCTACCTGTGGGTGCTACGTTGAAAACTTCGAGAAAAACTTCATTGATTCACCATGCATCTGCATCATAAAAAGACAAACGGGTATAACAACTAATTGATAATCAATTTATCACTGGACTAGATTCCGAAATCATTTTTCACATAAGAGAGTAATACACAAAGCAGTGGAGTAATACCACCATCTGTATTTGGAAGGAAAATACCTATTTATCATTGAATGAATAGTTAAAAGGATTCACCTTTTAATACAATACCTACATTACATTTGTCCTCGGTTTAAAAGACATTTATAAAATATATTATTTTAGTGTTAATAAAATGTAATATCCTAGTCTCTACTTCACATTTAAATTATTGATAGGTATTTTAAAGATTTGAGAGTAAGTATTCCTTAAATATGTATTATTATTTGTATTTATTTTTATCTAATAATATTTATTTAAGTTATTAATAAACATATTTTAAGAATGTTCTATTTTATTATTTATTGATATATCTTATATTTATTTAATAATAATATGCAGAACCAACTCTCCACATCAGACCCCTGCTTATAACAAATTAATTCCTCAAATTTGGTATAATCGACCTAAATTATTTTGTAAAATAAATGTTTCGAACTTACTAGTTCCATTCTTTATTTTATAAAATAATTTATGTGGAAATCATTTAAAATTTAATTTAAAACTACCTACTCCTAAAAATTACAATTTGAATTTACCGCCATCTGTCAATTGTCATTTTAGTTCCAGCTCCAAACATAAGGTGGCGCTAATTTGGTTTAAAAGTTTAACATTGGCGTGGGGTCTCTAGAAGATACGTGCTTTGTGCCGTCAGTCCTTTGAAGTTCAGAGAGTAAAATTTTGTGAACTTCAATTTGATTTATGAGAGGGATGGCCAGTATAATACATCCAGAAAAAATTAATGGAGCGTAATAAATACTATACACTGAGAAAAAATATATTGAAATTGAAAATATTTTACCTTATCATGCATAAAATTAAATTAATAAAATATTGGTTTTTATCATGTTCTGTCATGTTAAAACTTTTAATTTGATTTTTTTAAAAACAAAAATAAAAAATATGCTAATAGACCTTTCCCGTTATTAATGATATTTACTCATGCACAACTCCTACTTCCTGTTAAAAGTAAAAATGTATTGTTGTTATATTTCCTACTCTGAGTTATTTTATAGGTGTGTTATTTGCTCATGGCAAAAATACATATTTCATTCTTGCCTTGTAGAACATGGAAATACTTTGCTAGTGCCTACAGCGATGGAGTCATCGATGAGGACATGTATCTTAAAAAGCCTGTTTAGAGAATGCCTTCTGCAAATGTGTACCAAAAGTGTCACTAGCTCCCCTACTATATAGAATAGATGGCAGTTGTTTAAAGTAACGATGACAGGGGGTAATCGTCATAGCCTACTCAACAGTTATAAGGTGAGGAATAAAAAATAGGTTGTATGGAAAATTACTAGATTCAAAAGTACCGCGCTTTTTTCGAGCATGAGTAATGTGAAATTGTCGAAAGGTGGATTGTCAGTTTTTTAAATAGCAAATAAAACACATGTTTATAAAAATAAAATATATTTTTAACTCAAAAGGAATCGGCAAATAGCAAAAATCACAACTAAACTAGTTAAACTGGCCAGTTATCTATGTGGCAAGCGTGTTGAAATTAAAATGATAGTTGGCCAGTTTAACCCCCATTCCATTGTTTTTTGCGGGAACGGCTTTGTCGCTTCTCTGTGGTTGTTATTCTCGGGTTAGGATGTTATCAACTGAGATGCATTATTATTATGTCAATCTTATTAGACAATCCAATTTCCTGTTAGAATATCCAAAAAGCCCGACGATTGGCAAAAAATAATAAATTTTGTTAACCTCCCTAGAAGCATTGTCACAAAACACTCACTATTGTAACATTTGCTGTTTTTGCTGATTGTCCACCATTTAAAGTCACATGATTTGGATAGCCTATGTGGATAATAAGTGACTTTTATAGACAAGGCTAATTTAAAAAGGTGAACAGATTATAGGGTGCATACAAATAAAATAGGAAAATGAACTTACCATACAGCCATGACTGCAAAAGTCACAATTTGTAAAGTAGTTCTCGGTTCAACTGAACTACAGCAAGTACCATCATTGAAATTCATATAATCATTGCAATACATGTTTAGTAGAATTTGTGTGTTATGTCTTTGAGGTCTTTCAGCAAGATGGACTCCATCAGGACTTTCTTGGATCATTCCTTGACCAACCAGACGGGCACTCCACCATAAATCTGCTGCAGAATGGGACAAAACCTAAAAAATAAACATCAGTTTTATTGTATTTTATATAAGACTTGATTTACTTCTATTGCAGCCTTATTGTATAGATCAATTTGTTCATTTGTAATCATCTGTTGATCAATATTCATTTTTTCCTCATTTACAGGTGCCTGTAATGCCCAAAGAACTCTCGTTTTCATTTTATATAGAATGTCTATAGGCTGCACTAATCTTGTAAGATTTACTTGATATTCCTTTAATTCAGTCTTGGATGCATTTGAAATAACTATTGGCCATAATGCATTACCAACTACTACCACTGATGGAGGGTGATCAGATATTAGCCAATTCCTAAAATGATTAAAACATTAATACAATTATAGTGAAGTAAATTTAACCTACCTAAATATTTCTACCATTTGCTTAGAGATAAGTGGAGCCCAGATGAAGTCAACTTTAATTTTCAGTTTATTATCAATATGAGTCAAGTTGGTAAATGGAGTTGTAGGTTTTTGGCTAACATTTTCGTCTTGGTTTAAATGTTGTATGAAAGCTTGGTACATCTCTACAATTCGTGTGTCTCCCATAAAAACGAAATGCGTTTCTAGTCCAATATAGGCTATATACCGAAGACATCGTCGAGTATCGCTACAAAATACAACATAAAAATTTGTTCACATTAAAATAAAGTGTTAATACATTTTTGTATACAAGTGTAGCATACATCCGTAGGGCTGCCATTCTTCATCTGCTTTGTAACGTCCGTCAGATAAAAGCCACTTGCAAGAATTTGTGCCTAAAATACCCAAAATTAATCGCTTTAGACTAAAAATTATAAAAAACATACCGAATCTCAAGTGTAGAATTCCATGATAACAGGCGAAACCTATGATCAATAATATAGCTATCTTTTTAGCATTTGTTGAATTAATTTCATCGATAATTCGTTCTATTCGTGATTTTTCTCCAGTCATAATAAATAACTAATCAATTCCTCCATTCCTATAACAATAATAATAATAAACCTTTTAAAAGTCTGTTCTTTTGAGTATTTGAGTTAGAGTAAATAAAAGATGATTCGACAATCGACGGATTGACATGGGATTGACATTTATTTTGAAGAGGACATTTGAACTAATAGTTCTAAACGTAGTTCTACAAACGCAGGCAATTTTCAATTTTTTTTAACAAATATCGATTATAAACTTCAAATACGAAATAAAAAAAATATATATTCCCGGCAGATCTATATATTTATATTAAATTTAACGTTATTCTTATAACTGTTGCATAATGACATAAATTATTTGAATTAAACCGCCAAATAACTGACCTAGATCAATGCGGCTTTTATTTAAGGGGTATGTAATATTAGCCACCGCTAACATGTTAAAAATCTTTGTTTATTTATAAACAAACCATAATAAACTTATATTCAACTAAAGAAATCAATTTTTCAATATGTATACATGTATTTGTAATAGATTTAAGACTATTTTATTAAATTTATTCAAAAAATAATTAGTTGCCATCCATATTGATTAATGCAAAACCGGTTCTGCATTTTTTAATTGTTTAACCGGCCACTCTTATTGGTCCGTTTGAAAAAAGATTTTAAAATCGAACCTCCTGACTGGTCACACTTAAAATTGATCCGAGAAGAAACGGAATATTCCGAAGTCGGCGCTTTCGTTGTCTTGAAATCGAGAAAAGACAACGACTTGTTTTGCAAATTTGAGCGGATTTTTCAACGATATTTAAAGGGATTATGGTGTTTACCTAAACATCAGTGTTTGTGAAAAGTATCAGTTTTCAGTTGATAACAGACTCAAGATGACGGATATACGGGTAAGATTTTAGTATAATTTTCTTTTAAAATGGAGTAGACGCCTGTGTTTAAGGTTAATAAAATGCTCTCTCAAGTTTTGGAGGCTGTAGGAGCTTTTAGGATAAAATGGTTCTATGCAAAATAACTTTAAATTTATATCAGCAACTCTTAAGATCGGAAAGTAAACTTGTTTTTAAAAATTGTGTATTTATGTTAAAGAAGGTACCTAATAATTATACCCACAAAATGGTATTCTGTAAGCAACATCTACTTGGGCATACCCATTTATTTGTTGCCAGTTTCTTAAAATAATAGTCAAATAAAGTTTTAAGCACAGACGTATCCAGAATAATGAATTTTCCATTTAATAAAAAAAAGGTTATTTCTTATGTTAGAAGTCATCTAACCCAAAAATTTTGGCGGTTTTATTAACTTTATTGATCGTTTTTTCAGAAAATTTTCATTTCTTTTTTTCAAAGTGGATAACCTCGATTAAGTTATATAAATATATTTCTGCATTATAAAGTTAATTAAAAATTGTTTAAGTTAGGATGTTAGGATACTATTCTTTCTAGATCTATGACAAAACCATTCTTGGTCATTTTAACATACCTATAATACCATCTGCTGAATTTTATGCACTTCTATATATTGACAAAAGGTATACCTATGCTGGAATACCTTTTCTGTAAGATTATACCTAATGTGCATGTTCAAAGATTTATAATAGACTAAAGAAGTCCAGTTTCTTAGATTGAATATATTTTCTTCCACATTCTATCCCCAAAAGCTATATTTCTCACCTAGCCTCTTCATAGTCCCTTACTGTTGCTTGCAGTTCATAACCATTTTTAAAAAATTTTTTAAACTCAATTTCTGGTTAAATATTTTTTAGAGTATGTTCTCTAACATGGCAAATGGGAGTGAAAATGGCACTGACAATAATGCACAAACAGAGTCAGCACCTAAAGCACCAAAGGCGTCTAAAAAGAAAGAAGTAATTGAAAAAACTTACCAGAAAAAATCCCAACTTGAACACATCCTTTTACGTCCTGATACTTACATTGGTTCAGTTGAAAAACTGACTGAAGTTATGTGGGTATATGATAATGACCAGGAAATTATGATTCAAAAGCAAATTGAATTTGTACCAGGTATGTATAAAATTTAAAATTATACAATTTTTTTTATATATAATATACAGATGAAGCTGAAACTAGCAGCCAGAGTTGGCAGCATGTGTTAGAAAATAGATGTAAGTCAGATATGACGAAATACAGCAAATTTTTCCTACTTGAATTATGTTATAATAATAAAAATATTGGTATTGTGACGGCCACCCCCAGGCCCCCTTTTCTTTTTGATTTTGTTCTTGTGTTTTACTCTCTGAAATTGTTATTATTTATTTACCTCACAAGTTTCACTTTACTTTAAATTCTTTACTTACTGTATTTGGCCTTTTTCCTCTAGTAGTAGAAGTGATCGTCTAGTTAATTAATTGATAATTTATATACCCACGTTATGATAATGTTAATTAAGGTAAACCAGAATTCGATGCAAAGTTTGGTGCAAATTGATAAATAAAACATACAAATTCATATTTATACTCCTTTTTATTTTCCATACTTTAAATGAGATGCAATAATTAGCAAAGTATATTACAATTGTTACTATTTACTGAGATCTCACTTGAGTCCCATTCAAACGCAGACCATATTCATTTGCTATCAATATAATATATTTTATTTAGGTTGATGATCAACGGAGTTAACAAACAGCGTCAATTCGCCAGTTGATTAACTATATTGTTGTTGTTTATATTGTGATCTAGGTTGATGACCAACGGAGTTAACGAACAGCGCCAATTCGCCAGTTGATTAACTATTGTGTTGTTGTTTATATTCTTATCTAAGTTGATGACGAATGAAGTTAACGAACAGCGCCAATTCGCCAGTTGGTTAACTATTTAGTTGATGTTGATTTAATTCTATTCTAGATATATACAGGTTGTACCCTCCTAGGTAAATATTACGATGAGTATAGAGGTGATGACCAACAGAAGTAACAAACAGCGCCAATTCGCCAGTTGATTACCTTACTATGTTGATTTCACATATACTTTGTTTCAAACCTTGTAGAATGGGCTGCTTAGCATATAGGTGTCCCCCCTTGAGCTAACGAACAGCGTATTCGCCAGTTGGTTAACTTACTATTAAATTTTACCAGCTTGGTTTGTACAATTTATCCAAGATAGCACAACCCTGTATATTTCCAAAATATTGATTTTTATAATTTCTATTGAAAGACAATACAACCCTGTATATGTTTTAATATTGATTATTATAATTTCTATTGAAATAACTTAATACATCCCTGTATATTTCTTAATATTGATTTTTATAATTTCTATTAAAATACTCAAAATTTCACCCATCCAAAACAGATGTTATCCTAAGTGTCTTTCGGGGTGTATGACCTGAAGGCCATGTGGTTTATTGGTTAAATTGATATTTTGTAGCAAATGTCAAGCCGCCCTTAAACGAAACCGGGGTGGTATCTCAAAGAAAGTTAAATAAATCTTTTGACTCACCATTGAAAATACAGACATTAGATTATGTACTAATTTCATCTAGCGTTGTGATGTCGATTTAGGTACGTCGCGGCGTTGGGCGCCGCCTCGCGTCGAGACGCCTAGCGTCGTGTTGAAAAGGAAGGTATTTAATACGGTACTCTATTGGGACAGATATACGGTAGAATTATGTAGGTGTGATATTATGAAGGAAATATTTGAGGACTGCAAGCGTCGGAAATAAGGCGTGGGACGTTGAGCGTCGAAATGAGTATACGGTAGGAAATACTTAGATGGTGAGGAATGTGACAGCGTTCGAGATGTAGGGAGTAGGACGGCAGGACGTTGGGCGTCGAGACGTTGACACCTTCGGGGATAGGAGGTATTGTAGGGTAGGTCGTTTAGGAAGAGCGTTTTAGGAAAGGTACAGACTATATAACTGGATACAGACAATAAAGTGATTTCTTGAATGTAAAATAACAAAATGTATGCTCAAATGATCAAAATTGAATGAATCAGAGCTCCTTTTCGTCAGACTTTTTAATCGTTTTTGTGAAGTCTCTATCGTTTTGGTTCTCATAGAAAATACGAATGTGGGTGCAAAAGGGGGTGGGTTATTTATTACTTGTTTTGAAAGCTTTATGTATTGAAATATTGTCGAAATCGGTCTAGAAATCGAAACTAGAAATATAAGCGAGTTAAGTGTTTTAATGATAATTACTTCGTAAACAGAAATACGCTTTATGGTGTTTTCTTTGGGCTGGTTCTCAGCCAGGTGCACTAATTTTGGATCTTTACGGACGTGGTTATAGCTATTATTTATTAGGTGTCATAAATAAGATTTAATTATCTGAGAGATTTTTCATTAAATGAAGAATTTTGAATTTAAAAGAATGCAATATTGTATTTAATAAATGAAATTAATAAATTATTAAGGTACCTGGGTGCGGATGAGGCTGAAGCTAGCAGACAAACCGCACGGCGGTCCCTAAATGTTTTAATGTTGTTATTCGGCAAAATCTTTGGTTTAGGTGGACTTTAGTATCATAAAAGTTTAGAAATTAATAAATATTAGTGTATTTATTGACAAAAATGGATTAATTCAATTTGAATTATTAATTAAAATAAGATAATCGTACACAAAGACGGAGACGAAACAAACACATTTACAATGCGATTATAAATATAATTTTTATACCAAATATTCATTAAGTTTTTGTTAATTGAATAAACAAAAAATTAGGGCCGAGCAATGATTTAAAATATATTTTTTTGGTCCTTTTATAGTAAGGTGTTTTGTCGTCAAACGACTACAAGAATTAAGAGTCCAAAAAAACATATTTAGCACGAGATTACAAATACAATTTTCATACCAATAATTAAGTACATCACTAGCTATAAAATAAATAAAAAATCATGAAATAACAAGAGTTCTAATTACATTTTTTAGGTCTTTAAAATGCGCGGTTTCGCGGAAAAACATTATTCTACCAAAATATCAAAAACCAATATTTAGCAAGAAATTCTAGATATAATTTTTAATACGAATGATTCAATACATTAGTATAATTCAAAAACACAATAAATCATTACATAGCAAGACCTCCAAATATGTTTTTTAGGTCTTTAAAATGGCGCGATTTCGCGGATAAACCTTACTTTATCAAAATGACAAAAACCAATATTTAGCACGAAAATTCAGATAAAATTTTTAGTATGAATGACTCCATACATTAGTATAATTCAAAAAAATAATAAATCATTACATAGCAAGACCTGCAAATACGTTTTTTAGATCTTCTGAAAAGCGCGGTTCCGCGGAATAACCTTTATCAAAATGACCAAAACCAATATTTAGCACGAAAATCCAGGTATAATTTTTAGTATGAATGATTCAATACATTATTATAATTCAAAAAAATAATAAATCATTACATAGCAAAACCTCCAAATACGTTTTTTAGGTCTCTAAAATGGCGCGATTCCGCGGACAAACATTACTTTATCAAAATAACAAAAACCAATATTTAGCACAACAAACCAGGTATAATTTTTAGTATGAATGATTCAATACATTATTATAATTCAAAAAAATAATAAATCATTACATAGCAAGACCTCCAAATACGTTTTTTAGGTCTTTAAAATGGCGTGATTCCGCGGATAAACATTACTTTATCAAAATGACAAAAACCAATATTTAGCACGAAAATCTAGGTATAATTTTTAATATGAATGATTCAATACATTAGTATAATTCAAACAAATAATAAATCATTACATAGCAAGATCTGTTTTTTAGGTCTCTAAAATGGCGCGATTCCGCGGATAAACATAACTTTATCAAAATGATAAAACCCAATATTTAGCACGAAAATCCAGGTATAATTTTTAGTATGAATGATTCAATACATTATTATAATTCAAAAAAATAATAAATCATTACATAGCAAGACCTCCAAATATGTTTTTTAGGTCTTTAAATTGGCGCGATTTCGCGGATAAACCTTACTTTATCAAAATGACAAAAACCAATATTTAGCACGAAAATTCAGATAAAATTTTTAGTATGAATGATTCAATACATTATTATAATTCAAAAAAATAATAAATCATTACATAGCAAGACCTCCAAATACGTTTTTTAGGTCTTTAAAATGGCGCGATTCCGCGGATAAACATTACTTTATCAAAATGACAAAAACCAATATTTAGCACGAAAATCCAGGTATAATTTTTAGTATGAATGATTCAATACATTATTATAAATCAAAAAAATAATAAATCATTACATAGCAAGACCTCCAAATACGTTTTTTAAGTCTTTAAAATGGCGCGATTCCGCGGACAAACATTACTTTATCAAAATAACAAAAACCAATATTTAGCACAACAATCCAGGTATAATTTTTAGTATGAATGATTCAATACATTATTATAATTCAAAAAAATAATAAATCATTACATAGCAAGACCTCCAAATACGTTTTTTGGGTCTTTAAAATGGCGCGATTACGCGGACTAACATTACTTTATCAAAATGATAAAAACCAATATTTAGCACGAAAATCCAGGTATAATTTTTAGTATGAATGACTCCATACATTAGTATAATTCAAAAAAATAATAAATCATTACATAGCAAGACCTCCAAATACATTTTTTAGGTTTTTAAAAATGCGCGGATAGGCGAATAAATTCCAAATACAATTTTATACATTACATTAGTTGTGATCAAATAAAAAATAATAAAAGGAGCAAATATTTTAAATATAATTTTTAGCTATGGTATGGTCGGAATGTCCCTTAAATTATTTAGTTTGTCCAAAACAAACTTAAAACCCAATTTAAGAGAAGAAACTGCCATAAATCCTTAATTTGATTTAAATGCATGAAGATTACTACTATTAATATAGTAAGTAATTCCAAAAAAGTCACATTGAAAATGCGTTTGTGAATTTGTGTGTAGTACGAGGGTGGATCAATAAGTACCCGTGTTTGAAGGCAGGTGGCGTTGCTGAGGGAAGTTGGCATTACTGTCGTGTACCATACGTGTTTTGCATTAATTGATAAAATGGAAAAAGA